TCCACCTGTCTGTACTCCACCTGTCTGTACTCCACCTGCCTGTACTCCACCTGTCTGTACTCCACCTGTCTGCTACTCCACCTCTACAGTCCTGCACATGTTCCACTCTGTCTGTATCTGCTTATCTTCCACGTCTGCTACAGATCTTACTCTTATCTGATTGGTTTCTCCATGTGTCTTTGTGGCTTCGTCTGTGCTGGTAGCCATTGACCTATCCTCGTGTGGTGGACCGCAACTCCATCCAGGCTGTACAACCATCCGTGTATGGTACAACGCATCCAGGTGTACTACCTTCCCAGGGAGTTACAACCATCCAGGGGTACACAACCATCCAGTGAGTACATCCATCCAGTGAGGTCGACCACCAGTGGAGGTACAACCCATCCAGGGATGCGTACACATCGTCAGGAGTTAACACCATCCAGGGACGTCACGACCATCCAGGGTACGTACCCAACCCATCCAGGGTATACAATCCAGTACCCACCAGGTACGACATCCAGGGTAGTACCACCATCCGGAAGGTACACCATCCAGGGAGGTACATGGACCATCCACGGTTGGTACGACCACGTGTACCACCTCTGATCCGATCGTACCACCAGGAGGTACAACCATCCAGTGTGGGTACGACCATCCAGGGTATGGTACACCATCCAGAGGTACAACCATCCAGGGTGGTTACGAACATCCGGGTAGGTACCACCATCTGGAGGTACAGTCATCCGGATGGTACAACTCATCCAGGGAGGTACGACCATCCAGGGAGGTACGACCATCCAGGGAGGTACAACCATCTAGGGAAGTACAACCATCCAGGGAGGTACAACCATCCAGGGAGGTACAAGCATCCGGGGAGGTACGACCATCCAGGGAGGTACACATCCAAGAGGTCACAAACCATTCCAGGGAGGTACAACATCCAGGGAGGTACAACCATCCAGGAAGTAAAACATCCAGGAGTACGACATCCAGGGAGGTACGACCATCCAGGGAGGTACGACCATCAGGGAGTACCTCCAGGGAGGTACAACCATCCAGGGAGTACACATCGGGGAGGACAACATCAGGGAGTACAAAGCTCCAGGGAGGTCGACCATCCGGGAGGTACAACCATCCAGGGAGGTACAACCATCCAGGGAGGTACAACCATCCAGGGAGGTACACCATCCAGGGAGGTACGACCATCCAGGGAGGTACAACCATCCAGGGAGGTACAACCATCCAGGGAGGTACAACCATCCAGGGAGGTACAACCATCCAGGGAGATACGACCATCCAGGGAGGTACGACCATCCAGGGAGGTACGACCATCCAGGGAGGAACGACCATCCAGGGAGGTACAACCATCCAGGAGGTACGCCATCCAAGGGAGGTACAACCATCCAGGGAGGTACAACCATCCAGGAGGTAAAAGCATCCAGGGAGGTACAAACCATCCAGGGAGGTACGACACATCCGGGAGGTACAACCATCCAGGAGGTACAACCATCCAGGGAGGTACAACCATCCAGGGAGGTACAACCATCCAGGAGTACACCATCTCAGGGAGGTACACCATCCAGGAAGGTACAAACCATCCAGGGAGGTCAACCATCCAGGGAGTGAAAGCATCCGGGAGGTACACATCCAGGGAGGTTGCGACCATCAGGTGAGGTACAACATTCCAGGGAGGTCACCATCCAGGGGTGACAACATCAGGGAAGGTACAACCATCCAGGGAGGTACACCATCCAGGGAGGTACCAGACATTCCAGGGAGGTACCAACACAGGTAGGTACAAACCATCCCAGGAGGTACAACATCCAGGGAGTACACATCCAGGGAGGTACGACATCCAGGGAGGTACGACCATCCCAGGAGATACAACCATTCCAGGAGGTACTACCATCCATGGAGGTACAAACCATCAGGAGGTACAACCACCAGGGATGGTTACAACCATCCAGGGAGGTACACCATCCAGGAGGTACGAACCATCATGAAGGTACAACACATCCGGGGGGGTACAACCATCCGGAGGGATAGAACACATCCAGGGAGGTACGACCATCCAGGGTGACCACCCAGGGAGGTACAACCATCCAGGGAGGTTAAAAACCATCCAGGGGGGTACAACCATCAGGGAGGTAGGGACCATCCAGGGAGGTACGGACCATCCAGGGAGGTACGACCATCCAGGGAGGTACAACCATCCAGGGAGGTACAACCATCCAGGGAGGTACGACCATTTAGGGAGGTACGACCATCCAGGGAGGTACGATCCAGGGAGGTACGACCATCAAGGGAGGTACGACCATCTAAGGAGGTACGACCATCCAGGGAAGTACGACCATCCAGGGAGGTACGACCATCCAGGGAGGCACAACCATCCAGGGAGGTAAGACCATCCAGGGAGGTACGACCATCCAGGGAGGTACGACCATCCAGGGAGGTACAACCTTCCAGGGAGGTACGACCGTCCAGGGAGGTACAACCATCCATGGGAGCCTGGTATGGAGACCTCTCAGCTCTCACAGCATGTGTATGGTGTGGCTGCCATCCACAAGAATGGGTATAGTGTGAGAACCATCCACTAGGATGGGTGCGGGGTCAGTCTATCCCCGTATAGTGTGTAACTAGCTCAAAGCTGACTGACCCACACGGGTTTAGGGCTTCAACTAATAATAATAATAATAATAATAATAATAATAATAATAATAATAATAATAATAATAATAATAATAATAATAATAATAATAATAATAATAATAATAATGAAGAAGAATCTCGTATTTCCCTTATTCCATTCCTTTTTTTTCATGGTTGTGTACCGTCCTTGTCTGTGTCACGTTTCTGGCCACACCCTGAAGAGCAGTCTTCATGACCTTAGAGCTAACACACTCTCCCTCTTTCTCTCTCTCTCTCAAATAGGTCATGCTGCTTCCTTTCCTTTCATTCTTACTACTCCATTCTTGCGTCTTCCTCATTATTTCCTTCCTTGCATGCATGACACACATGCGATATCAGGATATTTATTAAAGAGACATTTTACCCACCAAGGGTTTTATCAACCCAATACAGAGAACAAACACAAGATATAACAAAGCCAATTCACAAAAAATGTCAGATATTTTATTACCAGCAGCAACACCCACGTAGCCAGGAACTACTTTCATGAACCTAATAACGAGGTAAATATGACGCTGCAGACAGTAAGATAAGTATCTTCCAGGTCTTCGGGGGAATTTACTCATGTCATAATTTATTCCCTCATCCAGGTCATTAACGTAGATTATGAATAACGAGGATCCCAAAAACTGACCCTGTGGAACGCCACTCGTCACTGGTCCCCACTCTGGTTTCACCATTACTTTATGTTATCATGTATCTCTCCTTCGCTTCAGAGAATACACACTGAGAAATGTGAGGCATTCCCAGTAGGGTTAGGTGTACCTGGAGTATACCTGGAGGGGGTTTCGGGGGTCAGCGCCCCCGAAATACTACAAGTGTTTCCTGACGCGGGTCTTAGTCATATGATCCACAGATAAACCTTTTATTCATCTGACCGATACCTTCCACTGGCTTTCCCCACCCTACCATTTAATAAAATATAATGAGGTAGCAAACTAACGCAGTATCTCTTCCAACAATGATGTCTCTTCTGCTGTGGACGGGGCCGTCAACACTGAACAATAACTAAGCGAGAGAGCACGGGTGATATAAATAATGTCGCCAGTGACCTTATCTCTCTCTTTTTTAAGAATCTCATTATCCACCCCATTAATTTTCCTGGCAGTCGTGACACTTGTCTCACTGTGTTCTCTAAAGGGATAAGTCAGATGAGTTTATTACGTTCACAAGATTCTGGTATTTATGTCGCTATTTCGTGTGGGAGACGTGACGGAGTATGAGTGAGGGAAACGTTCAAGAGGATGAAACAACACAACAGTGAGATTTGCCATAGGGTCAGTACAACTAGGAGTGGTTCATACCCAGGTGTTACACACAAGTGCAACACCTGGGTATAACCAGTGTCTCTCCTTCCTTCTTTCCTTCCTTTCATCCTTCTTTCGTTCGTCCCTTCCTTCCTTCACTCCCTCCTTCCTCCTGGCCCTGACTGTGACTGATCAGTGCCATCATTCTCACACGTAGCTAGGTCACAGTGTCTCCCCCAGGCACTAACCACAGCACTTTAGAACCCACGACCAACAACCACCACTAACCAGCCACCATCACAAACCAACCAACCAACCACCACTTAGTTACCATGATAACTACCACTCACCAACACCACCTTCACTACCACTCTTCACCATCACCACCACCATTTACTACCACTAATCACTAACCACTATAATTACTGCGACCTTCCAAGCTTTCTCTACATAGCTCGCCTCTTCTCTGGTTTTCTTGTAAACAATAACTCTTTCGGCCTCAAGTATGTAAAAATTAACTTTTTTAACAGTTTGAACCCTATCGACTTGACATGGGTCATTTAGGCTAATGGCAAAAGGTTTTTAACCTTTAAGAGAGGCAATGAGATTCTCACTGTATATACACTGAGATACAAACCTCTCGTTTTATATTGTAAACATTGAGAGGTACATATTTATCAGTTTATATACAGTGAGAGTATACACACTGAGATACACGCCTCGATGTGTATACATAGAGATATACGCCTTTCAGTGCATATACACTGAGAGATACACACCTCTTAGTGTATATACACTACAGAGAGAGAGATACAGACAGTCAGACAGACAGACAGAAAGCAGATAAAAACAGCTCTTCTTGGCAGGAAAAATGGCCATTAACAACAGTTGACTACGCTTTTATTTTTAACAGTATCTCCTAAACAAACATCACCTCAACAGAACGTACATAATTGCAGTCATGAAGCGGTAATAGGGACAGTCAGGGCTGGCGGGATAGGGAGGACAGGAAACAACTTGCCATGGGTATCTACGTGGCTCGGGTGGCTAGGAGGCTAGATGACACGTACGAGGATAAAATTAGGAATTTTGAGGTTGTTGAGACTCCTCTCAGGAGTACCTGAGGTGTAGTCAGGTGAGGGAGCTAGGTGAAGGTGCCTCTGTGTAGTGTGTACCTACCGTGAAGAAAAAAGGAAGGAAGGAAGGAAGGAAGGAAGAAAGGAAGGAAGGAAGGAAAGGAAGAAAAACAGGCATAAAGAAGTACCTGAGTGCTCTTCTTGCTGACGTAGGTACCTCAGACACATATCTACTCGTACCTGCAGAATCACCTCTCCAGGTAAGACACTCTCATGTGATACAACTGTTGGTGTAGTCGTTGTAGCTGTTGTTGTAGTTGCTGTTGTTGTAGTCGTTGTAGCTGTTGTTGTTGTAGTTGCTGTTGTTGTAGTCGTTGTAGCTGTTGTTGTAGTTGCTGTTGTTGTAGTCGTTGTAGCTGTTGTTGTTGTAGTTGCTGTTGTTGTAGTCGTTGTAGCTGTTGTTGTTGTAGTTGCTGTTGTTGTAGTCGTTGTAGCTGTTGTTGTTGTAGTTGCTGTTGTTGTAGTCGTTGTAGCTGTTGTTGTTGTAGTTGCTGTTGTTGTAGTCGTTGTAGCTGTTGTTGTTGTAGTTTGCTGTTGTTGTAGTCGTTGTAGCTGTTGTTGTAGTTGCTGTGTTGTAGTCGTTGTAGCTGTTGTTGTTGTAGTTGCTGTTGTTGTAGTCGTTGTAGCTGTTGTTGTAGTTGCTGTTGTTGTAGTCGTTGTAGCTGTTGTTGTTGTAGTTGCTGTTGTTGTAGTCGTTGTAGCTGTTGTTGTTGTATTTGCTGTTGTTGTAGTCGTTGTGGGCTGTTGTTGTGTAGTTGCTTGTTGTTGTAGTCGTTGTAGCTGTTGTTGTTGTAGTTGCTGTTGTTGTAGTCGTTGTAGCTGTTGTTGTTGTAGTTGTGTTGTTTGTAGTCGTTGTAGCTGTTGTTGTTGTAGTTGCTGTTGTTGTAGTCGTTGTAGCTGTTGTGTTGTAGTTGCTGTTGTTGTAGTCGTTGTAGCTGTTGTTGTAGTTGCTGCTGTTTGTAGTCGTTGTAGCTGTTGTTGTTGTAGTTGCTGTTGTTGTAGTCGTTGTAGCTGTTGTTTGTTGTAGTTGCTGTGTTGTAGTCGTTGTAGCTGTTGTTGTTGTAGTTGCTGTTGTTGTAGTCGTTGTAGCTGTTGTTGTTGTAGTTGCTGTTGTTGTAGTCGTTGTAGCTGTTGTTGTTGTAGTTGCTGTTGTTGTAGTCGTTGTAAGCTGTTGTTGTTGTAGTTGCTGTTGTTGTAGTCGTTGTAGCTGTTGTTGTTGTAGTTGCTGTTGTTGTAGTCGTTGTAGCTGTTGTTGTTGTAGTTGCTGTTGTTGTAGTCGTTGTAGCTGTTGTTGTTGTAGTTGCTGTTGTTGTAGTCGTTGTAGCTGTTGTTGTTGTAGTTGCTGTTGTTGTAGTCGTTGTATGTTGTGTAGGCTTTGTTGTAGTCGTTGTAGTGTTGTTGTTGTATGCGTGTTGTAGTCGTTGTAGCTGTTGTTGTTGTAGTTGCTGTTGTTGTAGTCGTTGTAGTGTTGTTGTTTGTAGTTGCTGCTGTTGTAGTCGTTGTAGCTGTTGTTGTTGTAGTTGCTGTTGTTGTAGTCGTTGTAGTTGTTCTTATTGTTGTTGTAGTTGCTGTTGTTGTAGTCGTTGTAGTTGTTCTTATTGTTGTTGTAGTGTTGTTGTTGGTAACAACGTTAACTTAGTCTCTGTTTTTTTTCTTCCAGGATGACACTGTTGAGCTTCATCCGTCGACGTGTGTTTGGTAAAGCTAGTTCAATTATAAAGGTAGGTCTCTCTCTCTCTCTCTCTCTCTCTCTCTCTCTCTCTCTCTCTCTCCCCCTCTCTCTCTCTCTCTCTCTCTCTCTCTCTCTCAAACATATCTCTCGAATTCAGAAAATGTTGATATCTTAGTTGATATACGACCCATTATCATTTAACAACCCATTACCATTCCCAGATTAATCCTAGCACCCATTACCATTCCCAGATTAATCCTAGCACCCATTACCATTCCCAGATTAATCCTAGCACCCATCACCATTCCCAGATTAATCCTAGCACCCATTACCATTCACAGATTAATCCTAGCACCCATTACCATTCCCAGATTAATCCTAGCACCCATTACCATTCCCAGATTAATCCTAGCACCCATTACCATTCCCAGATTAATCCTAGTATCTTTATCCATGCTTAATACCCTGTATCGGTCAATAAGACCCTGTAACAGTCCCTAACCCCTCGTAACACCCTGTAACTACCTCTAATATACTTCGTAACATTCTGTAACGCCTCGTAACAGTTATGCTGTTCCCGCAGCGTGTGGTACTGCCTGCTGTGTGTGTGCTGTTGCTGCTGCAATTGCTTACCACACACCCTGCACAGCATCCACCTCAACTATCCAACCTCATCGTTCCAGGTGGGTAGCGAGCCAAGGATAGCGAGCCCAGGGTAGCGAGCCCAGGGTAGCGAACCCAGTATAGCGAGCCCAGGGTAGCGAGCCCAGGGTAGCGAGCCCAGGGTAGCGAACCCAGGATAGCGAGCCCAGGGTAGCGAGCCCAGGGTAGCGAACCCAGTACAGCGAGCCCAGGGTAGCGAGCCCAGGGCAGCGAGCCCAGGGTAGCGAACCCAGGATAGCGAGCACAGGGTAGCGAGCCCAGAGTAGCGAGCCCAGGGTAGCGAGCCCAGGATAGCGAGCCCAGGGTAGCGAGCCCAGGGTAGCGAACCCAGTACAGCGAGCCCAGGGTAGCGAGCCCAGGGTAGCGAGCCCAGGGTAGCGAACCCAGGATAGCGAGCCCAGAGTAGCGAGCCCAGGGTAGCGAACCCAGGATAGCGAGCCCAGAGTAGCGAGCCCAGGGTAGCGAACCCAGTACAGCGAGCCCAGGGTAGCGAGCCCAGGGTAGCGAGCCCAGGGTAGCGAACCCAGGATAGCGAACACAGGGTAGCGAGCCCAGGATAGCGAGCCCAGGGTAGCAAGCACAGGTGTATACACACTGAGAGACATACACTTCTGTGTATCTTGCTGTTTTAGTGGCCCATATTGATCTATAGCTTGTTTAGCTGTAGTATTTACAAATATATGTTCATTGTAATAATTTAAATTCAATATTTATTTATTAATTTCGCAAGCTATTTTATTTGTATTAGTTAATTGTACACAATAACTGTTTTGCATTCGCACAGGAGAGGCCATCGACCCCATCTTTGAGAATAAGATGACGTTAGGGCATACTACGATAACCTTGAAACAGCAGCAGAACCAGGGCTCAGACGGCGCCCCTGTGGTACCTCGCCCGTCTCCCGTCACCCGTGATAATCCCCCACCTCCCCTGCAACCCCCGGCCATCCCTACCAGTGGCCTGGGGAATAGTGGTGGTGAGAAAGAGGGTGGTAGTGGTGGGGAGAAAAAGAGTGGTAGTGGTGGGGAGAAAAAGAGTGGTAGTGGTACTAGTAGTGGCAACAAGGCCAAGAAGTCCTCGTCATGGTCCATGGCTACTGCAAACATCACTGACAGTCACAAGGTAATATGCGTTGTATTATCCCAACGAATTTAGTTCTGCTGAGTAGATTCGTTGAAGCTAAAACCTTGAATGGTTTTAAAAACAAGTGGAATAATAATAATATATTTATTTCTTTTCTGCAGCATACTGGTAATGTAGTTTACATATAATAAAATATTGCCAGGCACAAAAGAAAGCCACTAACAAGCGGTGCATTTCGAGCACAAGGATAGCAAGAGTAGCAATCAGGTAAAGGTTTTCAAAATAGCTTAGACTAGATGAGTAGAACAAAGGTGCAACAGTCGGACATCTTTATTGGTGACAAAAGTGTCGACAATGAAGACACCTAACTGTTACACATGTGTTTTACTCGTCTACTTTTCGGTATTGTATAGCATTATTATTATACTGATAGGTTAGATAAATATATGAGGGAGCAGCAAAGTTCACATGTGACATGCATTAGTGTCACTCCTAAAACACTTCAGGTTCCTGAGACAAAAAACACAGAAGTCACTTTCTTAGCTGCATATTTGTTATATTTACAGGTGAGGTTCAAAGGTCATGCTATCACCAATCAGACGGTGACCTTGACCCTCATGTCCAGCTCAGATAAGGTCTTCATGTCCCTCAACAAGAAGGAGGTGAGCCGTGAGATGTTTCTGAGGGTAACGGGTTCTTTAAGTCCCTAGTGTACATCTAGCTCCTGGGGTTCATATAGCTACTAAGGGTTTATTTAGTGTGTAGAGTTCATGAACCTCCCAGAACTATTAACAGACTGAATACATAAATGAAAATATTCCTTGGTCGAATAGGGATTAATTTTAAAGAGTTTCCCCTTAAACCACTCCTTTATTGGTCTTTGTTCAGATCTACAGGAACTTAGGAGACCGCGGTCTACATGTTGTGGTCATCAACCAACACTCTGGCAAGGTTATGGCTCGACAAGTGTTTGACACATTCTCAGTCGGTGTCGAGGAGGAGATGGTCGAATTTATCGACGATATTCGTGACGGCCGAATCATCGTCTTCGCTGTACTGGTAAATACCTGTTAACTAGTTGAATGGTTAGTTAGTCGGGTGGTTAGTCGGGTGGTTAGTCGGGTGGTTAGTTGGGTGGTTAGTTGGTGTTATTTGTAAACCACTAGTCAAAACTTCTAATACACGAAATGAGAATTATTATAAACTGTGCCTATACATTGAGTGATATGCACTCTCGGTACATATACACAGAGATATACATCTCTCGATGTAAATACACTGAAAGATACACATCTCTCCATGTATATACCCTTTTTTATCTATAAAGAGGTCGGTCGGTTAAAGGGATTTTACGTCTAATCATTTGAAAAGTCACTTAAGTCATCACTGAGATGTTTCACTACCAGTATAAATTTTCAGTCACTATAACATGTGATAAACTAAACTTTCAGTGTATGTACACTAAGAGACATACACCTCTCAGTGTATGACCTGAGAGACATACATCTCTCAGTGTATGTACACTGAGAGACATACACCTCTCAGTGTATGTACACTGAGAGACATACATCTCTCAGTGTATGTACACTGAGAGACATACACCTCTCAGCGTATATACACTGAGAGACACACACCTCTCAGCGTATATACACTGAGAGACATACATCTCTCAGTGTATGTACACTGAGAGACATACACCTCTTAGTGTACATACACAGAGAGACACACACCTCTCAGCGTATATACACTGAGAGACATACACTTCTCAGTGTACATGCACTGAGAGACATACACCTCTCAGTGTGCATGCACTGAGAGACATATACCTCTCAGTGTATATACACTGAGAGACATACACCTCTCATATATACACTGGACATACACCTCATACACTGAGAGACATACACTCTCAGTGTACATGCACTGAGAGACATACACCTAGTATCATCACTGGAGACATACACTCTCAGTATACATAACATGAGAGACAATACATCTCTCAGTGTACATACACTGGAGACATACACCTCTCAGTATACATACACTGAGAGACATACACCTCTCAGTATACATACACTGAGAGACATACACCTCTCAGTATACATACACTGAGAGACATACACCTCTCAGTATACATACACTGAGAGACATACACCTCTCAGTGTACATACACTGAGAGACATACACCTCTCAGTGTACATCACTGAGAGACAACACTCTCAGTTACATACACTGAGGCATCACTTCAGTATACATCACTGAGAGACATACACCTCTCAGTGTATATACACTGAGAGACATACACCTCTCAGTATACATACACTGAGAGACATACACCTCTCAGTATACATTCACTGAGAGACATACACCTCTCAGTATACATACACTGAGAGACATACACCTCTCAGTATACATACACTGAGAGACATACACCTCTCAGTATACATACACTGAGAGACATACACCTCTCAGTAATAACATAACTCACTGAGAGACATACACCTCTCAGTATACATTCACTGAGAGACATACACCTCTCAGTATACATACACTGAGAGACATACACCTCTCAGTATACATACACTGAGAGACATACACCTCTCAGTATACATACACTGAGAGACATACACCTCTCAGTATACATACACTGAGAGACATACACCTCTCAGTATACATACACTGAGAGACATACACCTCTCAGTATACATACACTGAGAGACATACACCTCTCAGTATACATACACTGAGAGACATACACCTCTCAGTATACATACACTGAGAGACATACACTCTCAGTATACATACACTGAGAGACATACACCTCTCAGTATACATACACTGAGAGACATACACCTCTCGTATACATACACTGAGAGACATACACCTCTCAGTTACATACACTGAGAGACATACACCTCTCAGTATACATACACTGAGAGACATACACCTCTCAGTATACATACACTGAGAGACATACACCTCTCAGTTACATACACTGAGAGACATACACCTCTCAGTATACATACACTGAGAGACATACACCTCTCAGTATACATACACTGAGAGACATACACCTCTCAGTATACATACACTGAGAGACATACACCTTCAGTATACATACACTGAGAGACATACACCTCTCAGTTACATACACTGAGAGACATACACCTCTCAGTATACATACACTGAGAGACATACACCTCTCAGTAACATACACTGAGAGACATCACCTCTCAGTATACATACACTGAGAGACATACACCTCTCAGTATACATACACTGAGAGACATACACCTCTCGGTATACAATACACTGAGAGACATACACCTCTCAGTGTACATACACTGAGAGACATACACCTATCAGTATACATACACTGAGAGACATACACCTCTCAGTATACATACACTGAGAGACATACACCTCTCAGGGATTTTACATTATCTTATTCACTATGAGTAATACATGAGAGCTCAGCGTTCACCAGCCACCCACGCTCGGTATCCTGATACTCGAGAGTATATACCCGGTTGTATATTTAAAGAGAGAATAATCGACTTATATAATACACCATGAGTGCTTAATAATTTCAAACGGTGCGAAATTAATTGGGAACATATATCTCTCAGTCCACACAATTCGAACTGTAAACTCTGCAGTCAATAGTACACATAACTCTCATCCACTCAGCCAGACTCTCAGACTAGAGAGTATCTTCTCTCAGCGTTAAATACTGAGAGTTTAATTTAATCCCTATTTTAGGTGTTAAAGCATTCTTGTGCAGCCTTGAAAGACCCTTCCATAGTAGATAGGTTTCAAACCCCATTTCCCAACCAATTAAACTATTGGTCTAACTCCATTCGTAAAATAGGAATCTAATGGAAATAAGTTAATCTGCTTAACTTTGCTGGGTGATCATACATTAAATATACACACTGAGCTACACGTGTGATTCAAGATCATTGTATCACAAAACTGTGCTAAGTAATCTTCAGTGAAAACTCGCTTAATTTCGTGTAACTTTAACAGGACGAGGCTAGTAAGAGCCTATCATGGCGTGGCAGGAACAAGCTGAAGGAGCTTGGGTCACGGTGGTCAGATAAGCTGGGTTACAGAGACATGTGGGCCCTGGTCACCAGGAAGGGGGGACTCAAGATGGCTGAAACCTACTCTAACGTGGCTACTGCTGATACTGGATACGAGTGGGGAGGACCTGTCTTCCTCAGGACCGACTTTGACCTCGAGGAGAAGAACGGTGAGTCGAGGAGAATGGTGATTAAAGAAGAATGGTGAGTCAAAGAGAACGGTGAGTTAAAGAAACTGGTAAGTTGAGTTGAAAATTGCGAGTCGAAGAAAATGGTGAATCAGACAAATTAATGAGTCAAAGAAAACGCTGAGTCGAGAAGAAAACATTGAGTTTAGAGAAATGCATTGTGAGTTGAGAAGAAAGCAGCAACACACCTAAAGCCAATAATAACCCAACAAAAACGCCGCCGTAAGAATAATCACTAAATCCCATCCCTGGCAACACACCCTCCCACTCTTCATAGATCTAAACTTACTCCCTGTTCAGAACATCCACACTTACTACTGTGCAATCTATATCTACAGGACCTTAAATTCCAATATTAACCTTGACCTAAAACGCTTTCTTGATAGTTGTGACAGGACCCACGGGCATAACGCCAGACACAAACATCAAACATCTCTATGACATTCACTGTGTCCGACTAAACCTTTACAAAAATTCAATGTGTGTCAAAGGGCCTAAAATCTGGAACACCTACCTGAAAACTCTAGAACTGCAGACACATTCATCACTTTCAAATCTACAGTTAGAAAACATCTTATCTCCCTGATACACCCCGTCAACTAACTACATGATAACCACCTGGTGGTTCACAATTACACTCACCCACTGACTATAAACCCAGAAATACTAATCTTAATCTTAAAATAAAGAATCCTAACTAGTCATAAGTTTGCCTATGATACTCCAATATAGATACTATGTATTGAGCCAAAACAAAAGCATTCACATTGCTAAACTCACAAACTATAATAATAGTCACTTAGCCTTAATACCATAATCTGTAATAATTTAAAGTTAAGAATTATTCTAAGTCTGCCCGAAATACCTAGCCATGCTAGGTGTCCTAGTGGCCCCCTCTGTAATTAGTATTTTAAAACATATAAACCACACAATATCCAAAATCTATAAACCCCGCATTGTAATCCTTATAGAGAATAAACTTGACTGACTGATTGATTGATTGATTGGGTTAAAAAAAAAAACTATCTAAAACGAAAACGCGCCCTTTAGTTAGAAAACGGAGGGTTAAAGAAGAAAATGGTGAATTTTGTAAGAAAACGAGGAGCCGAGGGGAGACTCAGGTAGTCAGTGAACTCTTGACCCAGGGACCTGGAGATACGTTTCCGTTACCTGGATCAAGCCTGATTATATCCCATTCCTTGAGTATGACCCCTACGGGTGACAATAATAATAATGTATTTCTCAGGAGAGTGTGAGTGGGAGCACAACGAGCGTAATGATGCAAGACGTGTGTTCTGCAACCGATATGATGGTTATGGTGCTCTGTGTGAGTGTGATGTCACCAGCTGGCATGATATCTTCTTCCACGCTGATGACAAGGTGAGTCCTCTCCTCCTTCCTTCTTCCCTCCCTCCCTCCCTCTTCTCTTACAAGTATGCAGTGGAAACCTGGCAAATGTTTTGTACTCTGGCAGAATTGTTAGTCTGTGTTTCTGTCTCCTCAACATCACAAACAGTAGTTGCTATCCCTCAGGTGATGGCACACAAATGTGATATCACATAAGTGTGAAACACTTATAAAAAATTTCCACTCTGGCTGCTTTTAAACACGATGTAGTATTAAGTATACTAGTGATCACACCTGACCCTTCCTCTCATCTTACAATTATCTTGTAGCTTGTATTTTCATGATTTAAATAAAAACTGGAGAATAGTGTAGAAAGATGCATAAATATGTAAAGGATTTTATAACAGGTTGCATAACACGCCTATTACTTCCATCTTAAAGCAAAACTTGCAGACAGGCGATCTTAACAATGCAAGACAAGCCACGGGGGGGGGAACCTTTAGCTCAAGCACTTTCACACTTCTCAGTGCGTCATCAGAGCTATGCAAAGTTGCAAGGCAGCAAATGTTGTTGCCTTGCAACTTTGCATAGCTCCTGATAACGCACTGAGAAGTGTGAAAGTACTTGAGCTAAAGATTTCCACCCCCCCCCATCCTGGATTGTCTTAGTGCTAGTGCTTGGTAGTAAGGTGAGTGAGCTCATGGCATCAATATTTGCAGGTGGACACGCAGCTGTCGCACCAGAAGATGTACAAGGAGATGGGGGTGGTCATCCTGGCTTCAAACAGACCTCATTACCTTTATAAGTGAGTATAGCAGCTGATAAATTCTATGACCAATTTTTAAAGGGGTGGACTGGTAAGCCAGTGGAACACCGGCTTATATAAAGGGTATCCCTCGTTATGTAAAGGGTATCCCTCGTTATGTAAAGGGGTATTCCAAGCTATATAAAGCATATCCCACGTTATATAAAGGGGATATATTAATTTACATCAGTACTTCTATCTGTCCATATATGTGTAACTTCAATTATGTTATAAGGGTTTAATGACCCTTATATTGACAATGTTATTTACAAATTAAGTTCATCTTTTGATTAGTCCCGGGATTATTTAATTATATTTTTCAATGCATCAAAGTAATCTGTCGTTGTTTTAAAATTAGTAGCAATAACAGCAGTGGTTGTAGGATCAGCAGTATTATTATTTGTATGAAGAGTTAAACCCATGTGGGATATTAATCACAAGGAGTGCTGCAGGCTCGATCCTCCTTCCGCTAGAAACAGAGGTTAACCTTACTGTACTCCACTAACTGTCAAGTGTGATATTAAACATTTGATTGTTGACTACCCTGCTGCTGGTGATCAGGACGCTGAAGGCACTGTGGGAGGCTTCAGGGCTCAACAGAGACCGTGTGGCAGTGTACAGTGACACTCATCACAGAGAGATCACTGCCGTAGCCAGACTCTTCGGTGTGCATCTTGTGGTCACTGCCCAGCAAGGCAATTCCACCAAGACACACATCAGGCACAAGATGCAGAGGGTGTTCAGGTGAGGCTCCTTGAGGCTTTGATCTTCTTATTTGTCTACTGTCTATCCTCTTTTGTTTCCTATTGCCATTCAGAGCTTCCAAACACGGGGTATGTATTGAGAGATTGGTTGGTTAATTAGGTTTAATGTTTATTGATTACATGAGCGTCATTAAGGCTCCATGTAACCTATTCACCTCCAGTGAAAGATATTTTAATCCGTAAAATAGAGATTAAAGCAAACTCTCAAATTTGTGCAGTGAAAGATAACACACCTTCCAGTACACATAGACCTTGTGCTTAGAGGTATATAACTCTCAGTTTATATACATTGAGAGTTTGCCTAAATACTGATTCTAGGTCGGTCTGTCAGTGGTATTGAGTCAGCAGAGTTTATCAGTGATAGTAAAGCCTCTTGTTAACAGAGATCCTGTACCATGTCGGTAATTCTAACAACATTATTACCCTGTTACATGACTTTCATGCATTGTTACACTCAAAAATACTGTTAAGTGATTCAACAACAAGGAGTCATGCTTTTTTTGGTATTATCATTTCACTTATTATTTACACGTTGTTATGAAATTGTTAAAACGAACCCCCATGGATGTTTTTTTGGCTGACAGGGACGTGATGGGTGCCAAGTTCTCCAGGGAGACAGTGCCTGAGGGAGGCCTACCAGAAGATTCACTGCCGCCCTTCACCTGCACTCACCTCCTGGTTCTTGAAGACGATATTCAGGTCTCCGTCGATATCTTTAAGTAAGAAAAAAGTCACAATACCGTAGCTACAACACATGACAAGTTGCCCAAAAAATATCATCTTCAGACTTCAGCTCAAGAGGAAATCTAAAAGTTTCAATCCATCGTGAAACTATGCCAGTCTATTATCTAATATTTCTCAGACACTGTATAACCTCTACGGGTTTACCACTCCCATATGAATATAATAATAATAGTGCCTACCAGTTTGTAGTTGTATGGGTCGAGTCCTGGTTGCTAGATTATAAAGTATTGGACTATGATGCAGGTTCCTACAGGCTGTATCGCCAGTGCTACAGAGAGATCCTACAGTACTGGCTATCTCCGCCTTCAACTTCTTCGGCTACAGAGATGTGGCCAACAATCTAACTACAGTGTATCGCACCAATGAACTCAACCCCATAGCTCTCCTCATCCCAGACACCACTGTACACCAGTACATGGCACCCAACTGGCCTCTGGCGAATTATGTGAGTATGTGAGAATAGTACTACAGTAAGCCTATTGCCCCATTCTAGACAGGTACCACTCACACCCAACAATTCTAATTCATGTAGTTCTCTAACATTTATAATGGCATCTTAAAGTATTCATCTCAATGATTACATTTCATTCTTCTACAACAAATCGTAGTGAGTGCTTTACTAAACACTTTCTGAATCTAAATTCAACTATTTATGTGGTTACACCTATTTTCTGGCTCCTCCAGATGACATTTCGATCCATCCTGGACCGATATTAACACGACAATGACTCATAATGGGCCGAAATGTTCAGTGTTTATTCCCATTTTGTTGCTAGGTTGTGAATATACTCAGTATACTTGAATATAGTTGCAGATTGACTCATGTTAAATACCGCAGCTAAAAAATACATACCAAATCTCTTGAAAGATTAGTTTTGCAGACGTCAATTTTTGTGCTAAAGTTTCCCTTATTCGCAGCTCATAATAATAATAATAATAATAATAATAATAATAATAATAATAATAATAATAATAATAATAATAATAATAATAATAATAATAATAATAATAATAATAATAATAATAATAATAATTAATCTTGTCCCATACAGAGTAAAGAGTGGTATCAGCCTCTTGGGTCGGCTCTCAGAGAAGGGAGTGGAAGAGCTCTTCTGTACCCTGAGGTACCGAGAGCTAGACACTTTGGCTACCGTGGGGTCACTATTGAAGGAGGTATCCAGCACAACTTCTTCAGGGACCATATCCTCGCTCTCACCACCGACTACGACCTTCCTGACAGTGAAGTGCGCAAGTGAGTAACGATAGATTTTACCGGGAATAAAATTTGCAATACATAGCTGGAAGAATTCACAGCTAACCCACAAAGATCTCACCCACGTGAGGCTTTGTCACCCACAACGAGGCTTTGTCACCCACACTGAGGCTTTGTTACCCATAGTGAGGTTTTACCAAATACTTGGTAAAGCCTCAGTGAAAGTGACAAATGTTTTTCCTGCTTAAAATGTTATTAGGCTGCCGATTTTCAGTAAGTTGTTAGAACACTGAAATCGCTTACATCATGTCTGTTCCAACAATCATTGTTTAATAAGCCAAGTCTTCAAGTGTTGGCTGAAAAGCCCCCACGTAAACTCAATGTTCACCACGGTCTTTCAGGTTGGAATCTTCTCAGTACGAGGAGAGGCTGTTGGACACACTGAAGGCTTCAGAAGTTATAAGATTCGACTTCTGTAAGCACGACCTTTTGTATAAGGAGGTAAGTGCACACATACACAAATTTAGTGTCTACATCTATAATTATTATCATTATTATCAGAAGAGAGGGAAAGGTGATGTATATCTACATATCACCTCATAGCAACAACAGCAATAATAACAAACATCAACAATCATTACAATGTCTGAGCCTCTTCTTCCTTGACAGAATCCACTGGTGATGTTCATCTCTTACAACGGCAGTCGTATCGACGAAGCAACTTTGATCACAGTAATGGGGGTCAGTATACACGCTCGATCATTACTCTGTGCAACTTTTGTTGAATGTGTTGGTATACAGGTGTGGGAAATTTACGTGTGTCCTGCATAATGAGCTAAATCTGCCAGACAAGGAAAGATAAATTTAACAACAGGTTTTTATAGAAGCAAAGTTTTGCTGTGTAGAACTCTATCAAGTATACATAACTCTCTTCACAGAGCAAAATATTGTTTTAATAGAAACTTGTTCTGTAACGTATATCTTTTCTTTATTGGTCAAACTGTGTTACATTGTATAGACTTTCCCGTCTATCAAAGAGCATGCACAATTAGTTTTCCATAGGTTCAAGGCCGGACACATTCACTCTGACTGGCCTCCTCGCCAAAAGTCCCACATTTGACAGACTACATCTCTGACTTAAATAGTAACCTATGACACTAATTTTACATCACTAAACTTTAATTCCACTAACTCTTGTTCTTAAACCTAAACCACCTTTGTGCTGCAGTATATATTTTCTTAGCTCTTATTTGTTAATATAAAGAGTGTACAAGGCATTGACATATTCACTCGAACTTCTTCATCGAAAGTTCCACAAATAACATAGACTTAACTTTTTTGATGAAAAGTAACCCAGTGCCACAACTTTGACTTCAATTATGCACCGACATAAATCCCCACCTCCAATAATTCCTATCACTACAAGCCCTTACTCACAGCACTGTCTGTTCCATACAGGTTTAGCAGTTACCTTTAACTTAATCAGACTGATTTTCGCAATTACTGCATCAATGAATTTACACTTGGATTATTTTCAAAATAATCGTTGCTTTATTAGCTAAGATTGCACGCTCTGGTTAAAAACCATGGCATAATCATGCTTTACGTTAATTACATGAGTGGTTGTAATTGTTGGTGGTGTTTTATTGGTCAGACAACAGGACAGGCGTCTTCTGAGTTCTGACATCGTTCTCAGTCAAATAACGACCCATAACTGGTTAAGCATTCGCTGCTATGTTGTACATTTGAAGAACAATTACCACACAGTGGGTTTTCCCAGGATAGTAAAACCTTCAGGGGGTTATTGGTTGGCTGGTTAATGGGGTTTAAAGCCTGTGGAATAGACGAGTGTCACTGAAGCTACGTGTAACCCGTTCACCACCAGTCAAGAATACTTTAATATATAGATTAAAATAAACACTGAGAGATACACCTATCAGTGTATATATCCTGTCATCAGCAGTCTGCTTGTCGTTGTTACAGTGTCTGCGAACGTGGAACGTGTACCCAGAGGCCGGCTGGAAGGGAGTGTGGCAGTTCCACTATCATGGTCACTGGCTCAGCATTGTTGCAGTCCCCCTCTCTCCTTACAGGTAGGCCTCGCGGGTTTAGCGCTTCCCCAGCAATATACCTGAAGGCTTTGAGCTCAGCAAGAATATTTTAACTTGAAAAAACATATATATTTAAACTAATATAATAATTTATAGTTTGTATCGTCAGCTGAATTATTTCAGTATAATAAATGATAGTGATCAATGAAGCACTCTCCCCGAGGCTGCATCCCTAGATTACACTTCATGAAGTGCTAAACCCGTGTGAGTAATTCAACGCAAGGAGTGGTGGAGGCTCGATCCTCCGTCTCCTAACCTTTTTTTAACTCTTTACAGCTATCTGAAGCCTAATAATATTGAGCTGGTGACCGCACCTCCGACCACCACCACCACCACTACTGCAGCTGCCGCTGACGGTGGTGGTGCTTCTGCTGGTGGTGCTTCTGCTGGTGGTGCTCCTCCAGCTGGTGTTGCTGCTGGCTCTGATTCCAGTACTTCTTCAACTCCAGCTTCCACCTAGACTATGTTCTGTTTGATGAGCCTTGAAGCAAGCTCTCAGGAAGCTTGTCATGCTGCCATGAGCCAGAAGTCTATGATCCTATTGGTACGAAGTGCTAGTTAGTGTCTACTCACCTAATTGTGGTTGCAGGGGTCGATTCATAGCTCCTGGCCCCGCCTCTTCACTGGTCGCTACTAGATCCACTTTCTCCCTGTTCCATGAGCCTTATCGTACCTCATCTTAAGGCTATGTATGGATCCTACCTCCACTACTTCGCTCTCCAGATTGTTCCACTTCCTGACAACTCTAAAGCTGAAGAAATACTTCCTATAAGAGCCTTGTAGTGTGTGTGTGTGTGCAAAATAATTAATAAAAACAGTTAACATCAAATTTGTAAAGCCAGTACAGTGAGAGAGCTCTTAAAAGGCTCCACTGGACACTCTCCTCTCAATAAATATCATCAGAAATATATTCCAATTCCTCCGGAAAAAAAAATTGTACCAGACGCCACCCATAGACAAAAAAATAATATTTTTTTTTAGAGTGGTGGATCTTGATAGATAACAGATCATTTAAGTACTTTCCGTATTAATAATAATAATAATAATAATAATAATAATAATAATAATAAAATACCAGTTGAGAAATTTTTTGTTTCGCTTTCTTTTCCTGCAATATTCGGGTGTAGAGTTTTATCATGAGCAGAGTTTTATCATATAGCGCTGTATGACCCTAGTGGGTTTAGCGCTTGGTTTTATTATAATCATGTATAGTAGTGATGTATCGGATATCCGCATCCGCGGAACATCCGCACAATTTCCTGCATCCGCATCCGCAAAGTGAGATATCCTCATACACATCCGCAAAGTGAGACATCCTCATACACATCCGCAAAGTGAGACATCCTCATACACATCCGCAAAGTGAGACATCCATACCATACCCATACACATCCGCAAAGTGAGACATCCTCATACACATCCGCAAAGTGAGACATCCTCATACACATCCGCAAAGTGAGACATCCTCATACACATCCGCAAAGTGAGACATCCTCATACACATCCGCAAAGTGAGACATCCTCATACACATCCGCAAAGTGAGACATCCTCATACACATCCGCATCAGAGGATATCTAAATTTTTACATCCGATGCATCTCTAATGTATAGAACTATATCAGTAGTACAGCTTTATCATGAGTACAGCTTTATCATGAGTACAGCTTTATCATGAGTACAGCTTTATCATGTGCAGGCTTTATCATGAGTACAGCTTTATCATGAGTACAGCTTTATCATGAGTACAGCTTTATCATGAGTACAGCTTTATCATGTGCAGAGCTTTATCATGAGTACAGCTTTATCATGAGTACAGCTTTATCATGAGTACAGCTTTATCATGTGCAGAGCTTTATCATGAGTACAGCTTTACCATGTGCAGGCTTTATCATGAGTACAGCTTTATCATGAGTACAGCTTTATCATGAGTACAGCTTTATCATGTGCAGAGCTTTATCATGAGTACAGCTTTATCATGAGTACAGCTTTATCATGTGCAGAGCTTTATCATGAGTACAGCTTTATCATGTGCAGAGCTTTATCATGAGTACAGCTTTATCATGAGTACAGCTTTATCATGAGTACAGCTTTATCATGAGTACAGCTTTATCATGAGTACAGCTTTATCATGAGTACAGCTTTATCATGTGCAGAGCTTTATCATGAGTACAGCTTTACCATGTGCAGAGCTTTATCATGTGCAGAGCTTTATCATGAGTACAGCTTTATCATGTGCAGAGCTTTATCATGAGTACAGCTTTATCATGAGTACAGCTTTACCATGTGCAGGGCTTTATCATGAGTACAGCTTTATCATGAGTACAGCTTTACCATGTGCAGAGCTTTATCATGAGTACAGCTTTATCATGAGTACAGCTTTATCATGTGCAGAGCTTTATCATGAGTACAGCTTTATCATGAGTACAGCTTTATCATGTGCAGAGCTTTATCATGAGTACAGCTTTACCATGTGCAGGGCTTTATCATGAGTACAGCCTTATCATGTGCAGAGCTTTATCATGAGTACAGCTTTACCTTGTGCAGGGCTTTATCATGAGTACAGCTTTACCATGTGCAGGGCTTTATCATGAGTACAGCTTTATCATGAGTACAGCTTTATCATGAGTACAGCCTTATCATGAGTACAGCTTTATCATGTGCAGAGCTTTATCATGAGTACAGCTTTATCATGAGTACAGCTTTATCATGAGTACAGCTTTATCATGTGCAGAGCTTTATCATGAGTACAGCTTTATCATGTGCAGAGCTTTATCATGAGTACAGCTTTACCATGTGCAGGGCTTTATCATGAGTACAGCTTTACCATGTGCAGGGCTTTATCATGAGTACAGCTTTATCATGAGTACAGCTTTATCATGTGCAGAGCTTTATCATGAGTACAGCTTTATCATGTGCAGAGCTTTATCATGAGTACAGCTTTATCATGAGTACAGCTTTATCATGAGTACAGCTTTACCATGTGCAGAGCTTTATCATGAGTACAGCTTTACCATGTGCAGAGCTTTATCATGAGTACAGCTTTACCATGTGCAGAGCTTTATCATGAGTACAGCTTTACCATGTGCAGAGCTTTATCACGAGTACAGCTTTATCATGAGTACAGCTTTATCATGTGCAGAGCTTTATCATGTGCAGAGCTTTATCATGTGCAGAGCTTTATCATGAGTACAGCTTTATCATGAATACAGCTTTATCATGTGCAGAGCTTTATCATGAGTACAGCTTTATCATGAGTACAGCTTTATCATGAGTACACCTTTACCATGTGCAGAGCTTTATCATGAGTACAGCTTTACCATGTGCAGAGCTTTATCATGAGTACAGCTTTACCATGTGCAGGGCTTTATCATAAGTACAGCTTTACCATGTGCAGGGCTTTATCAAAGGCAATTAAATATATTTTTTTCGTTAGGGTCACAATCATTTATGCGAAATTACTGCATACACAAATTTTCGCTTGCCTTATTCGGCAAGAATAGCGTTGCTATTTAAGCCAAAATCGTAAGTTTTACCTATATATATTTATATATAATATATATATATATATATATATATATATATATATATATATATATATATATATATATATATATATATATATATATATATATATATATATTATATATATATATATATTTATATATTATATTATATATATATATATATATATATATATTATCCAAATGGGTTTTAGCGCTTTCCAATAACAATAATAATTAATAAAAAATAATAATGTGGGAGTATGGATAAAGCAAGAACACTGGTAGAGTAATTATTTTCATTAATAGATATAAATCGAAGCTAAAATATTTCCGAAAATAATACAAATTTTACTAAAATATATAATGAAACTAAAGTAAATATATATTTTTTGTTTCTAAGGAAAGAGTCGATTTTTTATTCAATTGTCATGATTGTGGAGGAAAAAATATATTTACTAACGTAAATTAGTATAGTTTTTACCTCTTGCTTATTTTATTAGATAAAGTTTATGGATTATATGGTAGAAAATATATATAACAGAAACAAGAGGGTATATATTACTTTGAGGAGGAAATTTGTAATTATATTTCCGTTTTCAAAAATATCGAGGGCTCTTAAAAGGTTATTTAAACCATGGATAGGCATTAACTGGCCTCCAAAAAAAATTTTCCTTGATGCCACCCATAAATGATATGTTAATACAGTCTTTGGCAGTCAAATTGCCTCTTGTTTGACCTTTTTTTGGAGTAATATTGGTGGGTGTAGGTGAGGTAACCTGACGCTGCTGTGATGGAGGAGTGAGGCTGACACAGCCGGTCGTCTGCTGCACGTGTCTTGCTGTTACTGCTGTGTTCAGACATAACTGTCTTTACTGCTGTGATCATGAGTCTCCTGAGTCGTGCTGTGTGCCGCCTGCGGTCCTGTGTGCTGCCAGTGATGGCTGTGAAGGCAGGAATGGCACCCTCACGAGCCCTGGCCCGCAGCTTGGTGGTTCTCTCTTCTAACCGCAGCCGCAGTCCTCGCTCCTCACATCTCTGCTCCTGCGGCTGCGGCATCCATGGTCTGCACACTAGGGGTAAGTTCTTACCCTAAATACCCTTCGAGGGGGTAAGGGGCTCTGGTGACAGTAAAGGGCTCTTGATTCTAGGAATTGGAGAAGAGTGACTGGTTATCCTGGGTAATTTACACTGATTATTGTACCCCCTCAAGGGAGGTTCCTTGATGCTGGTGAGAGGCTCTTGATCTTGGGAATTGGATCTGTGCTCCAGTTCCCTGAATTAAACCAGAATACATTTCACCCCCCCCCCACAGGAGCTGTATAATCATACGGGTTTAGCGCTTCCCCCTTTATAATAATAATAATAATAATTATTATACTTATGTCTGCCTGTGCCTAAATAAACTTAATTTACTTATTATTGTAAGCTGATCCTCTTTTTAATGTTAGTGTAAATAGCTTATTTTATTTATCTTGTATATCCTTTTATTGTGACTGATTTTCACACAGTTGAGTTACTTGTATATGAATATATATAATATATTATTATATAAGTAACTTAGATGTTTTAACTTATAAGATTTAAATAAAATGGTATTACAAGGACCAAAGTGAAAGTAAGTCACTTTGACTTTTTTGGGGTTATTTTGGGTAATTTACACTGATAATGGTAATTATGTATATCTGCCTAAATAAACTTGCTTAATCCTTGGATAAAACACTACTCATTCCCATGCAGTGTACGATCCCAATGGAATTAAGTCGCTTTGACATTTTTTTTGAGTTATCCTAGGCAGTTTACACATCATTATTTAGGACGTTTGTAAATATCCGAAGATTATGTAATTGTACCTTAATGAACTTAATTACCCTGCACGTATTAGGCTTTAAATGATAAGATATTACAAAGACCCCATTGAAATAAATCACTTTGACGTTTTTGGGTTATCCTGGTGAGTAATTTACACATTATTATGTATGATAATTACAGTAGGATGCCCATATCCCAGGGGATACATTCCAAGGACCTCCATGGATACAGAAAATAGATAGTAGTAAACCCTATATGTAAGTCTTTTACATACCTATTATAAAGTTTATTTGATAAATTATGCCAGCTGGCCCAGTGGCTTACGCACTGGCTTGGAGTTTGACGACTCGCTTGCCATGGGTTCTAACCCCACCCATACCTTGGTTTGTTTAGCCTCTCCTCGGTGGCCGAACTGTGTGCAAGCTTCGTCTCGTCTACCTGGCCTACTGTTCCAGGCTGTCTTGGTGGGTGTAATTACTGGACACAAGTGGAGAATTATTTTTTCACTGATGGGAAGCACTTCAATGCTTCTCTTAGGCTTTGAAGAACAACCAGTTTCTCTTACTTTTGTGCTTTGGGACCATTATTATGCAAAATTAAGAGGTATTTTTGGGCCACAGCAAACGGTGGATAACTGAAACCGTGGATACTGAATCAGTGGATACAGGGGTTATACTTTGTGTACCTGTACCTAAATAAACTTACTTCCATAAAACCAGTCTGAAATAACACTTAACTTTTCATTGTCTTGTGCACTATATTGGTATTATTTGTAATCAAATGCTGTGTGTATCATGTTAATTTTATCATTGCAGGTGACCGTGAATTGGTAGAATTCTTGCAAGAGGAGATTGTTGCTGAGAAAAAGACTGTAAGAGGGAGTATTCCTCAGCATCTTGACGATTTTGCTGTCAAATTAAAAGATGCGGAGGTCATCCTCACCAAGAATTTTCATGATGAAAAGTAATTATATCAGTGTTGGTATTGCTCATTTCTTTATTTCATTACTACAGGATAATGGTTGCTACAGTATAAAAGAAATTAAAAAAAAGTCTATAGAGCACTTTGGGTTACCATTCACTTATTACCAGCAATCATTATGGGTTATGGAATGTACGTGATGTATGAATAGTGATTAGCTGTATTGTCAGTATAGCTACTGAATTCCCTACACTTATACTTTTGTAGTATATTGTAGATTGTATCATCCATGTATATATTTAGGCTCCCTTTCACTAGGCTCAGCAACTAGCATGTGTCGTCACGTGATGCGCATGTGTGCGTGAGATTCCCTGTAACTCCCTCAGTTCTCCACGCTTAGGCCTACAGGCAACACAGGCAGTCTGGGCTTCCCTCTCACACTCTGCTAATATAAGTGTTACCATCCAACAAGTGTGTTTAACTCCAACCATCACATCTCCACGAACCCTCTCGACAGTATTTGCTTTGCAGCTTTCCTACATTGCAGTCACAACAAACTATATTTCCATAATATCAGTAAAAGGAAGGTGGCTTAGTTTGGTAGGCAGTGCACTCTCCTCATACACTGAGTGTCCATGTTACAATCCCCTGGCTGAGTGGAAAACATCAGGAATGTTTCCTTACATCTGCTATCCTGTTCACCCAACAGTAAGTAGGTACCTGGGTGATAGTCAACTGGTGTGGGTTGCATCCTGGGGGACAAGATTGAAGGACCCCCAATGGATTAAAACACAGTCCTTGATGACACACTGACTTTCTTGGGTTACCCTGGGTTGCAAACCCTCCAGGTTAAAAATCCGAATAAATCTTAGTCTTGCTGGAACAAAACCTCTTGGATACAGGCTCTATATTGTTACTACAATACCCTGGACAGTTAAGAAAACTGTAACCTAGAATTATTACTGAATTTTCTGGTTTATTATAGACCCCATACTGTAGCTCAAGATAACTTTACATTCTACTTTCTGTTCCACCTGAGGTACCATTTTAAAATAAAAACTAAAATTTCACTATTGTTAATGCAACAGTAAATTGGTTTTAATGTGGCCTAGATCAAAATTGTTTTATTGAGATGCTGAGGGTCACAGTCCCCTCAAGGAAGGTTCCTTGATGTTGGTGATGGGCTCTTGATTTAGGGAATTGGATCTGTGCTCCAGTTCCCCGAATTAAGCCTGAATGCCTTCCACATTCTCCCCTAGGCGCTGTATAATCCTCCGGGTTTAGCGCTTCCCCCTTGATTATAATAATAATAATGAGGGTCACAGTGGCAGTCTTCTTGACTCATGGCTGAATGAGGTGCTACAAGTCCTTGTATACCAGGGAGAGAATTCAGTTGTTGTTTTCACATTGTCAAAATAGACAACTAAAATGGCACTTAATCTGCTATAGATTTTTAATTAAATATTCCCATACAGCCCATATGTTGGTATCTTTATTAGTAATAATACTGCTTTAGTTTCATGAGGATTTTATGGTATACAATTAGTAATGTCAAAATAATATTTATATAAGCTTATTCCAAAATCTCTCCCCTAGTCAATAATCACTTCAACAGGGTATTTATTTTTGATGCCAGATTTTTTCACATTGGATACTTTAAATAGTACTGTATGTATGATATTGGAGCACAGTTACCAAGATCATTAGGTTAGTGTACTGAAAGCTGCAGGTTCCATAGTTTGTCCTCACTTCATAAGGAGTGCCTTGATGTTAAGGGGCTCTGGATCTGAAGAATTAGAGCTCCCCTCCCCTTCCTCAAATTGACCCTGGTTATCTCCTGTTCTACTAGGTGCTTTATGACTTCCTGTGAATACCATAATAAGAGTACAGTTTATCCTGATGTTTGTCAGTCACATGCTGGGGAAATATTTTTTTCAGAATTACAATCTCCTTGAATGTGAATCACACTGTTGAGTCCGAGGAACAAGAAATTAATGTGGAACAGACAGAGGAAGCAAATCTGACAAGTCGGCCAAGCTTTGAAGTTGATATACAGATTGGTTCAAAAATTTTGTCATTTACTTGTTCATACACAACACCTAGTGATGTTGTAGAGGGACAGGACCAAGTTGAAGGTGAGACTTTATTTGTCGTATTTATTGTTTTAACAGTTCAGTTTACAAGCTAGGTGGTTTAATCTTACCTAGGCTCATTACTAAACCTTGACCTATCTATATCTTCTGATGCTGGACTTTCAGACGATGACCCGCTTAGAGATTAAGTAGCCATCTGATAAATTTCAGGTGCTATATACCTGGGATTAATCATTCTGTCACAATTCTAATTCATGAATTTATACAAAGCAGGACCATCCAATTTACTCTTGTGTGATCTCACTATGATTTCTGGAATCTAATAGTTACCATAAAATTTTTTTATTCTTAATTGAAGAGGGCATCTTGTTGCATGAACAGGTTCCTCCACTTTTTATTTTTTAATTGAAAAATGTAGTCCAACATGACAGGGAGTTCCAAAAATTGCAAGATATAAACAATCCCTAAGGATTATAAAAGGTAAGACCACCCTTTCTATGGGTAGTTCCCAGACACATCAAAGCACCACAAGGAATAAAGGAGATAGTTGTATTGAATAGTTAATTTTATCATTCTAACTACTGGAGAGGAAATCTGTTATACATTGTTATTTCATATTTCAATGTTGTTATTCCCTTTGCTCTTTATTTTATGCTTATTTTTTCTTTTCCTTTCAGATGTCTTTGGAATCAGTGAGTTAACAATATATGAAGGAGAGTGGGCTGAGAGTACTTACTGTGTTTCAGGAGACATCTTAGATGGGGTAAGCTTATAGTATTCTCATAAGTTTTCAAATTGTTATTGTATCATAGGCATTGTAGCATTAAGATGTTTTGTACAGTAGCACATTTATGCCAGTTATAGTCGGGAAGCATTGAATCCAAAAGCATACGTTAAGAAGTAACAGATAATTAAAGGTGGAGAGAATTGTTATAACTGCTGAAAACTAACAGCCCAAAAGTTATAGCACTAAAAAGCTGTTATGTGCTATAAAGTGCGAAGGAAGCAGTGTAGAGTCAAAGTACTGTATGTGCAAAAATCAGGTTACTACACACCATAGATTCTTACAATCTGCTCGCTTACCCACAGGCATTACTTCTACCAAGTTAGAATAAGTCACTACAAAACATTTTTTTTCTAATAAATGCTTTCCAAAATTTATATTACTGTATTTAGGAATGTTTAGTTTATATAAAGTACTTGTGTAGAAAGTTTGAAGAGCCTACTCAGTGCATTAATATGAGGGATATTCAAAAAGTACAGTACAAGAAATGATGACCTCCTTTGAAATAGTAATGGACAAATAACCTGTACTCTGGAGAGCAGCGTTGTATGCCCCTTGTGGTTTAGCGCCTCTTTTAGTTTATAATAATAATAATGTACTCTTTAGAGCAAATGTGTGGTGAAGTTTCTGTCCATCTTGGACCTTTTGTCAAGTCTTGATGGACAGTGGTCCAGAATAGACAAAAAAAAATCATTATTAGTTTCTTCTCCCAAGTGCAAGTTATTTGTATATTGTTCCAGCTGCAGTACATATTGTGATTTTTTTATTTCTTTTGGAATAGTAACCCAGAATTGTACATTATCCTAATTGCACTGAAGTTGCAAATTCCTGTACCTTCAATAATTTAGTATCTACTCTTTCTGATTTCTATTGCTGTACATGGTGAATGATAATTAATGAAAAAGTGTTTAAATGAGAATGTTGTAGTGGGGGTAGAATACACATCTTCACTGAGGCTCTACCCTAATACATTGCACATTTCTAAAGATTCCATTAACCTCCTTAAGTAAGGTATAGTAGTATTTATTTTGGCAATAAAATGAGGGAAAATGCATAGGCAAGTATTCTGGCAACTACTGCTTCAGCTATGTTTTTTTCTTTAACACGCTGACCGTCTCCCACCAAGGCAGGGTGACCCAAAAAAGAAACACTTTCACCATCATTCACACTATCATTGTCTTGCCAGAGGCACACATATACGACAGTTTAGATGTCCTTCTAAACTGCAGATATCCTCACCCTTCCATCAAGTGCAGGCATTGTATCTCCCACCTCCAGGACTCAGGTCTGGCTAATTGGTTTCCTTGAATCCTTTCACAAAATGTTACCTTGAAAACTAAATTATTTGTGATAATTTAAAGCCTGGATTTCAATGTTCTCAAGAGGTCATGACCTAGATTATGACACATTCAAATGATTTAAATTTTAGGGGCAAGCATGAAATACTTTTCAAATAATCTTTCTCTTCAAATTTGTACTCATTTTGGGGTCTCAGAGGACTTCTCTTTTAAATGTTGTTCTAACTTCAAAAGGTAACCACTTCACAAGAAAAAATATCTAGAAATACATGGGATTTGTAGTTAGCATTTTCAGTTAATCTTTATGTAATTTTTAATTTAGGGGTTGCTTGCTAAGGCTAAAGAAAATGGATAGCTTAAAACTGTAAATAGTCAAATTTATTCGAGGACCTTCAGTAAAAAAAAAAAAAGAATTCAAGAATTGGTTTACAGCAGATTTGCAGGGATCACTCTTTATATATAAAGTACAGTATTTCAATACTATGCAAGCTTGCATCCCTGCATTACTAGGCTTCAAGCAGGGTCTGTCAGTGCATAATACAAAGTTAACACTTTTTTTTTTTTAAATTCTGTTGTAGGACATTTTGCATGCTCTGTAATACTCGAGAAGAATGTCCAGAGTAGGGCTGTCACAGCTACTCCCTGTGCACAATTTTAAGGTTAATGCAAGGCCCTCCTGATTGCAGATGATGTATGACCTTCTAATGAACATGCTGGAGGAAAGGGGCATTACAAGTGAGTTTGCCGAGAAGCTAAGCAGCCTATGTTCTAATTACGAGCATGTTCTCTATGTATCATTACTTCAGCAAGTTCAAGACTTTGTCAAGAGGAAATAATAGTGAGGCCTGTCATTATATATCCATTTGTCTGGCAAATTTATTCTGCAGTAAGGCCAAAGAAAAGCTCCGAAAGGATTCTGTATTAAGTTTTATAGGAAAAATAAGTAATTAATTAGGAGAATAGTACTTGCTTTGAAAATATAAATTCAGATTTTAAACTTAAAAAGTGCACATAGAAAACTTTCATAAAATACATCTTATCAAATTTGGCCTACCTGTTTTGTGTGCTGGATATAAGAGAGGCTGTAGTAACTGAAGAATATATTGAGGGGATAAATTTATGCAGATTTTTGTATTTGTTTCTACAGCTTAGTGGTTAATCTGTCATGTTAAAATATTTGTAACATCTTTGGTTAAATATGATTATGTACAGATAATGTGTAGCTTATGAAGATGTTTTGTATTATTAAAATAAAAAAGTATTTCTTTTTAATAACTTTCAATTCTTATTAACAATTTTTATTACTGTTTTTCACTTCTTTAATGAGCTTATTTCATAATAGATTTTGCTGTTTTTATGCACTGGAATATTAAAGAAACCTCTCAGATAAGAAGCCAACACACTACCAATACTAAATCAATTATTTTTTACTAAAAAATAGAAAATTCTCTACTATATAAACCCTCTTGGAAATGATCATGTTCTACTGGGAGTAACATATCACATGTTACAAACTGTAACTAGGGAGCAATAAAAAATGCAAACAGGCATGATTTGCTTATAAGAAGGAAAATATAATTTATGACAGTATTTCAGATACAAAACTCCTTAAAGGGGGTGAGGGGGTTATGTTGATGAAGGTCTCAATCCTAGGAATTTGAGCTACTTCTCAAGTTGAACCTGATTGCCTCCCATTTCTCATGCACTGTACGATTCTTGTGGAGATAGCTCTTAACCGTGAACATAATAAAGACAACATGGAATAAAATAATGCCAATGAGTAGACACAAATTTTTTTTAATAAGGGTTTTCAGTTTATTTCCCAAATACAAAAGAAGTAGCAAAGAATAGTATAACAGGTGCTGGAGAACCATGAATAGGAAAGGACTATGAATCATTACAGGAAGCAAGTCATCTTAACATACTACAGAGATTCAAACAAACTTGAAATATTTGATTATACATACAAATGTAAGGAAGAAGGAGCTTGAAGTGAAAATATTGATAAGGACAAGAAAGTGACATTTTATATTAAAATTTGTGGAATTTAAACTGAAAGACAAAATATTAATGTCCACAGATGACAACAAAATTGCCAAATTGGAGGAAATGTAAGAAATATTAAATATGAAGTTCCAAAACAAGTTTACAGAAGAGGACAATTTCATTGCATGAAAGCATATTAGCTGACAAATAGAGAATGGCAGCATATTGTACTAATATTTAAAAATGTAACAGGAAAGTCATTTACCGGGAGACTTGCTGTTCATAATACACACACACATTTGTCAAACCTAACTGTTCTAGCACATACTTTTATAACTTAGAAGGTATATTAAACTCTTATAAAATGTTAGGCTACCACAATAAATTTCCACTTTTTACCAGAATATTCCTTAACCACATTGTCCTTTTTCCCCACCAAGGTAGAATGACCCAAAGTTGGAGACACATTCACTATTACTCATTTAATAGCTAACTTGCTAGAACATTGACATCACAATTTGAATGGCCTTTCGAACCACAACATTTCCATGTCACTTTTAAATGGAAATTTTTGCTGGTGACTAGGATACATTTTGCCAAGTTGCTTAGGAACTAAACAGCTTTACCAGTGTTTTTCCTTTTGCTGGCAAATTTGTAAGTTTCTGGTAACTTGGGTTCACCCATAATGTTTCAGAAAACACATGAAAGGTTAGACCAACATGAGTGGCTAGTTCTGGTGCTTTGTAGTTGGGTTCCCAGTGCGCCAAGTGGAACCCTCGTGACTGAAGACCACTCAGTACCCTGTAAGAAATTAATTGTTAGAAGTTCTACCTAGAAAGTGTGTGCTTTGTAATTTTGCTTCTCTTTTCTTCTAAAATGGGGTGGATCCAATGCATGTAGTGTCTCCAGCTGTTCATTTATACTTTTAATCATTATATAATTATTTACAACCTGCACAAAAGCTATACAGTATATATTGACTAGGTGATGGTTTGGTTTTGATTACGTACCTCCTTTCTATCCTGTTCATTCAAGACTTTTCCAATGCACTCCTTTTTTTTTTTTTTTTTTTTAACACTGGCCATCTAGCACAGACAGGGTGACCCTCAAAGAAAGCACCATCATTCACACTATCACTATCTTGCCACAGGAGCTCCTTTAACAACAGTAATTCGTGACCCATATTCATATGCTCCCAGTGAAAGGCCCTTGATCCAAGGAATTGAAACTACCCTCTCTTTCCTTGGATCATATCTGATTGTTTCCCATTTCCCTGATGCTGTATAACTCCTATGAGTTTAGACACTTGGTAAAATTATTGTATTGGTGGGGTATGACTGTATGTGTGGCCTGAATACTCAGCCTGGCTAAGAATCCAGCAGCCTAGTTTTTGGGTCTGAATAGTGGGGAGATTAACACGTTTTATCGAATAGGCTGCAATTTGTATCCTGTAACTTTGAATGAATTATGGATACAGTTTGAACTTCAATAATGTACTTCGAATTGTTTTAGTTATGTTATAATTATTGTAATGGGAGTACGTTAGTCAAGATAGCATATTAGTATTGATAGTAAATTGTTAAGATAGTTGAAAATTAGTAATGATTTTAGCAACTTACGCTAAAAGCAACAAATACAGAAACCGGTCTAATATGTTCTTTGAAATTTTAAAAACTATTCGTTCTCGGAGCATATAAATTTTTTGTTGCAGTAACTTGGCAAAAACTCAAGGAAAGTTGCTTGATGCTGGTGAGGGGATTTTCATCCAAGGAATTGGACTTGGCTTTTATTTCCTTGGCTTGAACCTGATTGCTTCACATTCTCCAAGTGCTGTACTCGCTTATATGTGCTACAGGTCTTTAGTACTTCCCCAGAAATATAGTAATTCAGCAAAAATAAGTCTAAACATCTGAGAAATTAATATACTAATGCATTTCACATATGTAAAATATTAAATTTATGCTGACCTAACTGAAATTAACAGTGATCATTTTAGTAAGGTTAGGTTAGTGCTGATTTAGTCTTGATGCAAACTTGAAGACATATAGAGTACATGTACCTTGTTAATTCACAATAAAACAGAGTACAGGAGGGCCCCACTTATACGGCTGGTTAGGTTCCAGGCTACCGCCGTAAAGCGGAAACCGCCGTAAAGTGGAACACCTTTTTTTTCCACTTACAAATGCATACAAACACTAGATAACAAGTTTACACTAACATATATTAAGTTAGCAATAGAACCAGGCATCAAAAAACAATAAAAAAGTACAATACACACATAGTGCACTCATTACTTACCTTAAAATATTTATAGTCTTAATCTAGGGTGAGACAAGTAGTATTTATTGTTAGAAATCAAGTGTGGTATGTATGGTAGTCAGCCAGGCTTCCATACCAGGCCACCCCACCCACACACAATTCTATGATATTTAAGCATCCCAGAGCGATAAAATGTATATACAGTTCACTCATTACTTACCTTAAAATATAGGGTGAGATGAGTAGTATTTATTGAAAAAATCAAGTGTGGTATGTATGGTAGTCAGCCGGGCTACCATACCAGGCCAACCCACCTACACATAATATTCTATTACATTTAAGCATCCCAGAGCGATAAAATGTATATACAGTTCACTCATTACTTACCTTAAAATATTTGTAGTCTTAATGTAGGATCAGGAGTAAGTAAATGAGATAAAACGAATAAATGAGAGAGAGAAAGAATGAGTGCATGAGAGAGTACAGGCGCAGAGTTATGTAAACAAACCAGGCGAAGGAAAGTTTTGTAAACAAAGTGTACATGTCTGGTTTGTGTACAAGTTACATTGTGTACAGGTTGTCTCTACGTTGATACGGTAGAATAAATAAAGAACACTCCCATTCTCATGTAACATCATTTTGAGAAGAAATGATGCTCTGAGTGAAGGCAATGGAAATAAGTCACTCTGACTTTTTTGGGCTATCCTAGGTTCTCTACACATATGTTGTTATGTATGATAATCTATGTAACTGTATTTGTGTATACCTGAATAAACTTACATACATACGAAAGGAATAATTTTCTACAGTTACCCCCCCAGTAACACATTTTCTCTTATGTTAGATTAGAGAAAATGTTATTCTTGGCGTCACTTGTACAAGTTATCTGGCTCCCACATCTCATATTTATGTTTATTTATTCTATTGTGGGGTGTATTTATCATCTTTTTATGTTATGTATCGTGTTTATTATATAATTTTGAAAAAATATAATGGATGGATTAATGAAAATGTGTATATTAACGTAATATACAACATTTAATGAGACTCGGTGATTATTATTATTATTATTATCATTTCTAATATGGCGTCACTTGTGCAAGTCGTCTGCTACCACATCTCATATTTATGTTTATTTATTCTATTGTGGGGTGTATTAATCATCTTTTTATGTTATGTATCGTGTTTATTATATAATTTTGAAAAAATATCATAGATGGATTAATGAAAATGTGTATTTAACGTAATATACGACATTTAAATGAGACTCGATGATTATTATAATCATTACTAATATGACGTCTGGAGACATAAGACACTCTTACTGATTTTAATGTGTACCTGCATGCCAGCACAGTATGTAAGTTTATTTAAGTACACGTATACATAAGTATAATTATCAGAGTATATATATAAAATATGAAATAACTTTTAAAAACATTTGAAATTTTGGAGTTTCCAGACAAAATGGAGAGACTTAGTGCTTACTGAGCTCACGAAGAATGTAAACAAACAGGGTGGGGCGCGGTGACCGTATTAGAAAGTCAGGTGGGGGGAGCCATATAGCGAGTTTTGGTCATAATTTGAAATGACCGTATTAACGGAACGCCATAAAGTGAAACGCCGTAAAGCGGGGCCCTCCTGTATATTGTATTAATTCTTAAGACAGTATTTCTGAAAAATCTACAGTATTTTAAAGGTAGTTTGGCTTGTTTGACCAACACTGCCTGAAAAGCATAACATACTGGTGTATACTGTATTGTATTACAGTATTTGAGAGTTACCCAAAAGTTTAAGATGTAAACAAGTACAATGGACCCCCAACATTCGATAAATCCGACATTCAATGCATTTTAACGCAAAAATTTCGCCTCGACATTCGATGGGAAACCCAACATTTGATTCGATTCGTACGAGACGTGTCCACGTGTGGCCTGAACTGCCCTGTGTTTGCCAGTGTTTATAAGCCAGCCAGTGTGCGTGCATCTAAGGATACATTCAGTACATTCCATATTATCACTGTTTTTGGTGCTTGTTTCTGCAAAATAAGTAACCATGGGCCCCCAAGAAAGCTTCTAGTGCCAACCCTTCGAGAAAAAAGATGCTAATGACTATTGAAATGACGAAAGATAATTGCAGAGTACGAAAGTGGAGTGCGTGTGTCGGAGTGCATGATGATTTGGTAAAGAAATTGCCTGCAACTAGTGGTGATGTGAGTGAATTTAAGGCCAGCAAAGGTTGGTTTGAAAGATTTAAAAATTGTAGTGGCATACACAGTGTGGTAAGGCATGGTGAGGCTCCCAGTTCAAGTCCTAATGGAAGGGGATTCCCCTTCTAAACACTAACACCATCCACACTCTCCCCTCTTCCCATCCCATCAATCATCCGATCTTCATTAAAGGTAAGTGTCAATTATTCTGTTGTTATTAATCTATTGTTATTGTAGTTATTCTATTGCACTAAACTTAATATTTCATGTGGTAAATTTTTTTTTCCATACTTTTGAGTGTCTTGCACGGATTAATTTGATTTCCATTATTTCTTATGGGGAAAATTAATTCGACTTTAGATATTTTCGACATTCGATAGCTCTCAGGAACGGATTAGTATCGAATGTCGAGGGTCCACTGTATAGGTAAGTTTTCTGTGGTTAGCATTGCTTTAAATTTCATAAAGTGCATTAAAGTACATAGCTAATGTATTAGTTTGGCCTATAATTAAAGATGGCAGAAATTAATGTCACTAACCTGAGGTATTTAGTAGCACTTGTAAGTAGGGACTGGGGGCTACGGGACCTTCCTTTTTGACGGAAATCATCAAGGTGTACTTCAAGTGCCAGTTGTTGTGTTCTATTCAGTATGGGAGTCTGTAATGAAGGAAGATGTCAGTGTAATGTCATATATCTTTATTAGATGGCCATACCTTGGGCATTTTAAACTTTGCTAGATTATACCACCAGCATTTTATACAGGTGTGAAACAAAAAGGCTTGGTAATTGAATCTCAATTTACTGTTAGGGGAGTGAGCTTAAGTTTAAAATTGTTTTGCAGACAGCTGGGAGTACAACAAAGGCCACAGTTGGGAAAGGAGAGGGGGTGGAAGAGGACAAAGGCTTCCATATTACTGTCAGGAGAGCTCTGTTGGCTAAATTGGCAAACCTGTTGTACATTGCGTATAGTCTTTGTGCTTTATGACCATTTCGGGTTTTGTGTTTGATTGCAATAATAATATACTCTTCCAAGGACCCTTTAATTAGATGGGTTGCTTTGGACTACAGCAAGAGTGTGTGTTCATGGGGATGTATCTTAGATGCTAATATACACACATTTATTGCACTTAAAATCTCATCAAGGGGAAGGGAAATTACTCTCTATCCTAGGAGTTGGAGCTAACCTTCTCTTAGATTCAACCTGATTTACCCCTCTTATTCTCCTAAGCATTTAAAAAAAAAAAATATTATCAATATTACCAGTAGCTTCTTCATGTATTTCAAGTTCTTTTTATTAAAACTTTTTCTTTATTAGTACCTCCCTTACATTCATGCTTCCAGTTCATACCTTAAAGACAGACTCCTCCAGCACTTCCCACTCTGCACCTTCGATGTCTAGCTTGAGGTAGTGGAACTGGTGACGAGTATGGCCCAGCTTGATCATGATGGCAGGTAGTGGCCAATACTTAACTAAGTAGGGTCCAGAAGCTTTGTCAGATGCTTGGTGCTGAAACTCGTTCAAGAAGTACGTCCCCACTCGCACCTTATAGAATGTCAGCCTGAGAATGTAGATCAATGTTGTGTGCATGTTACAAAAAACGTGATTCTAAAAGCTTAGAGATCTCCAGTGAATACTAGAAAGGACTAACCTTCTAGCATCCAGCCTGTTACTGGGTTTTCGTAACAATTAGTCAGTATCCTTGTCCAATTATCCATTAGAATTCAATAAGAATTATTAGTGCTTCAGGATTACAACTGGTAGGCTACTAACTAGAGAAATTAAAATTTAATAAATTTATTAATCATGGTCTAGAGGTATATTATCAAAGTAAATTAAATTAATAATAATCAAAATAATAATAATTACTTCTCTCGTGTACAGTAGTATTGTGCTGAAAGCACATATCACATTTATAAGTCTTAAGTACCGTCTGGTACAGTAGCATTTAATAATACAATGTACAAATAAGATTATGTGTATGTGTGTGTAAGTGCTCTAAGTAGTTCACTATGTCTCACGACTCGATTAGACTTAAACAAGTGACTGACAAAGTCCTCACATAAACTAACTTCTCGACCAACTGGCAATCAGAACAGTCTGCTTGAACAATAAAAAGAATGCTAAGCCCAATAGCAATATAACAAGCAACTGCGACACAGAATCAGGAACAAGGAGATAATATAACGACACTAAGTAGGGACCATCAGCAGATCCTCCACAAAAGTCACAAAACTCCCATACTACTGAATCTAAGTTCAGCATAAGAAAATCCCCGACTGTAACAGTACACAGATACCAGTACAAATTAGGTCCGAAGCTACAGCTCAGGACCTGAGTTGCTTAGAGTGTATAAGAGACACACAACTTCAGTACAACGTTGAAAATCACTAAGTCTATACAATGTTCTGTGAACAGTCTCTCTAGAACTAACAATAAAGCTACAGAGACGATCTTCCAACAACGGCCAATAAGGAAGAGTTAGGCACTTGTCAGGAATACGTCCAACCACCAAGCGTGTCTAGAGCAGACTGAATACTTCAGGCGAGGTGAGATCACCCCCCCCCCTCGATCACGTGATAGCTCCGTGGACAGTTGCTGCCCAGCAACAGAAGCCGGCAGGGAAACGAGCCACAAGCGATAATTACAGTACAGGGGTCCCTCAATAATCGTTCATAATCCGTTCCTGGAAGTGGGACTATTATCGAAATGGACGATTTACGAATCAATTTTCCCCATAAGAAATAATGTAAATTCAATTAATCCGTTCCTGACTCCCAGAAGCATTAAAACAAAAATTTTTTTTACATGAAATATAGATGTAGTACATAAACAATACAGTGGCACATGATGAATTAAACATTAACAGAATAACACTTACCTATATTGGCGATTCTTCTTTGTGTATGGAAGACTGGAGAAGGAGACAGATTGGATGATTTACTGTTTGGAAGGAGAATTCCCTTCCATCAACACCTCGGGTACCAATTGCTTTTCTGGGGTTACTTCTCCTCTCTGTTTCTTAATGCCAGTAATGTAGGTCCTCTTTGGCATTTTCTTCCAAAAGAGGCCTGTTTCATCACAATTGAACACTTGTTCAGGTTTCAGTCCTTCACTGTTTATGTACTCCTTGAATTCATGCACATATTTTTCAACCGCCTTGTGGTCCGAACTGGCAGCCTCACTATGCCTTACCACACTGTGTATGCCAGTATGCTTCTTAAATCTCTCAAACCAGCCTTTGCTGGCCTTAAATTCACTCACATTACCACTAGTTGCAGGCAATTTCTTTACCAAATCGTCATGCAACTGCCTAGCCTTTTCACAAATAAGCGACGTCATCAGACTATCTCCTGCTAATTGTTTCTCATTTATCCACACCAATAATAACTTCTCAACATCTTCGAATACTGGTGATCTCATTTTTGTCAGCATATTTACCCCCTTTGCAACAACAACATCCTTGATTTCCTTTTTCTTGGCTATGATGGAAGATATGGTTGTACGGGATTTGTTATACATCCTCGCCAGTTCGCCCACACGTACGCCACTATCATATTGCTCAATGATGTTTTTCTTAAAATCAATCGTATTTCTCACCTTCTTTACCAAAGGCTTGGTACTAGGAGCTTTCTTTGGAGCCATGGTAGCTTATTTAGCACTTAAATAACTTGCAAGCACTAAAATAAATGGAATATTATGAAATATTTCGCTGGAGCACGTGAGGGGACTGTCGCTCACTGGTAAACAATGGCACACTGGCTGGGAAGGAAAGGCCAAGGCGGCTCAGAGCGCGAGTACGTGTCCGGGACGAAGGACTATTAGCGAGTTACCGGACCATTTGCGAGCCAATATTTTGACGAAAAAACAGGACTATTTCCGAAATGGATGACTTTCAGGCCGGACGGTTATTGAGGGACCACTGTAGTTAGACAATCAAGACTTGAACTTTGAGCACATAATATGTTACATCCTACCTAACAACATAACTAAGTCAAATAATAATATAAAGTCATATATTTACGATTTAGCTATTATCGCAAATATAAGCAATATAAAATTATATGAAAAGGTAATATACATTATATAAATCATATACATTGTAACCCATTCAGGGGTTGCAACACCCCCCCAACACGACAAACGGTCGCACTAGGAATTGCGTTAATGTCTTTCACATTATTACTGATTACAGTGGACCCCCGGTTAACGATATTTTTTCACTCCAGAAGTATGTTCAGGTGCCAGTACTGACCGAATTTGTTCCCATAAGGAATATTGTGAAGTAGATTAGTCCATTTCAGACCCCCAAACATACACGTACAAACGCATTTACATAAATACACTTACATAATTGGTCGCATTCGGAGGTGATCGTTATGCGGGGGTCCACTGTACTCATGTCACTTTAGTAATAAAAAAAAATGAGTCAATCTTGTGCCAAGCACTTCTATAATTTCACAGTGTCTATATCACTAAGATATGCCCCTAGTACTAGGGCAGTACACAGCATCGTATCTCTGCATACTCGTGGTTATGTACATCAGTGTAGAGACAGGATAACGTAGACAAGCATGACACGTTGAGGCTCGATCATAGTAGTGGAGACTGCATAAGAACAATAGTCTTGTGCGATAGACAGGAGACAGCATTCCACTCTTAAGTAGTGGTTGTGGAATGCTATGCAGTATGGACATTGAGTATGAAACAGCTTAAGGTGTGTAGTGAGGGGGGGGAGGGTCTGCGGCAGGACAGTGTTCTGCCACGCAGTAACATCATCGCCCACACAACACTACCCACTCAACACTCAGCTTCTGTCTCCTCCTCACACATATATCACCACTACTGTGAATATATAAATAGATTAATTAGACATGACTATATGTAATTAACATGGGCTGGAGAGATTACGTTACTTTACTGAATTTGACATAGCAAGTAACTAAAGTAATTTGGACATAAAATTACATTAATGTAACTGATAATTATTAAGGACGTGACAGAGCGTCAGCAATTACATTACAATGACCACTTATGTGTTTTATACTAATAGAATAAGCTTGGATTCTGAGTGCCCACCTCATGATCCTAGCATTCTTACTCTTCATAGTGTTTATGTAGGTGAGAGGATTGTGGTCTGAAAAAACGTTAATTTTAAATGGGGAAGTGCCCAAATACACGTCAAAATGTTCCAAGGACACCACAAGAGCTAGAGCCTCTTTCTCAACAGTGGCATAATTTTTCTGGTGTCGTTTAAGCTTAGATGAATAGTAACATATAGGATGGAGAATGTCAGTGGATGTTGACTGTTGGAGCAGCACAACACCCACTGCATAACAACTCGCATCTATATATAAAAAGAAAGGAAGATTGAAATTAGGACTTTTCAACACAGGAGCGGAGGAGAGTAAACGTTTCAATCTTTTGAACGAGTCTGAACAATCTCTAGTCCAGGTGAACCGAACTTTGCTACTAGTGAACACAGTAAGAGGTGTAGGTGGAGGTGTGTGTGCTGGCTTGCCTGTCACTTGACACACGTGGCAACGTCGTACATGATCAGCTACTGTTTCCTTCATTTTAGGCCAAGTAAAATGTTTTGCCAGTTTACCGAGTGTCTTCTTGACCCCCAAATGTCCTCCAATGGGACTATTGTGAGCAAAATCAATGGCTTGTTCATGAAATGTAACTGGTAACACTACGAGAAGCTTGACTGTGGTGGAAACACTATCAGCTGACAACTTACATGTATTTTTCTCCATCAGTACACCATTACTATAATAGTAACAATTATCGAGATCTTTTGCTTCACTCTCAGTAACTGCTATATCTCTCAGTCTTTCCAGTGACTGATCAACAAACTGATCCTTGATTAAATCATCATGAGTTAGAAATTTAACGTCAGTTGTATCCTGACTAGGTTGATGACACGGGGGAGTTGGTGTTAATGATCCTGGGCGCAGAGCATCACTAAACAACATATTCAAGCCCCAATCATTGTCATCCACTAACTCAACAGGAGACAAGGATGGTTGTTGTGTCTTTGACATAGCTCTAGTAATTGCACTGAGAGGAAATAAAATAGGCTTCTCTCTACAAGCTTCAATGGCATAATTATCATCAGTGTTATTATCAATCACAAGTGGTTCTTTACATATACCAGCATGAAGGATATCGTTCCCTATCAACAAGTCCCCTGACCTGATGGGAAATACTCCACTGGATATACCCACTGAAATATAACCAGTATAATAGCTTGTTTCAATGTAAACTTTGTGCAGAGGTACTTTTGTAACAGCCCCACAATAGGCTTCTAACAATACATCTATCTTGCAATAGGTATCATCAGTTATGGGCAGTACATCTTCTCTTAATAACGTGAGATAACTGCCAGTGTCTCTGAAAGTAATTATCTCGGTTAGATGTGATTCGTCAAATCCTACTTTACCTCTCGAAAAGTAAGGACTCATCGCTGAACGAATCTTTTCATCAGATACACTTTCTGACACTAGTCATCTGTTCTGAGTAATATTATCTAAAACAGTAGGATCAGAGGTATTACTAGGATTTTGGTGCCTTTGTTGCTCAGAAGAGGATACAACTTGAGTGGGGGCGCCAGCCGCACGACTGCTTCTCGTATCTCTTTCTAACTTATAGCAATACTCTCTAGCATGTCCTTTTCTGTTACAATAGGTACATTTTACTTTCTTCTTCTCGATATCAGATTTCTGTCTAGCCACAGAGACAGAATTAGGATTGTGAGTTTTCCTGGTAAAGGTACGAGAAGTTACAGTAGCAGGTACATCAGGCCGGCAATGAGCAGCTGATTTAGGTCGCCAACTTCTAGGACAACTTTTAGTTACCTTGTTTCTCTGTGTTTTAGTATGTACAAGTTTGTGAGAAATCTCGTAATTGTCTGCTAATGCTTCAGTTTCCAGAATATCCGAGGTAGTATGATCGATCAGATATTCTTGTATGTCAGCAGACATACAGTTGTTAAACTCCTCGTGTAGTAACAACTGAATAAGAGTGCCGTAATTGTTACATTTCGCAGACCTACACCATCTCTCAAATGCAACTTTTTTCTCATGAGCAAACTCTACACAAGTTTGATCTTGCCGTCGTTGTAACATACGAAATGCACGTTGATAACTTACAGGCAACAAGTTATATGTCTCTAGAATAGTTTGTTTGACACCGTCATAACTAATGTACTTGGCAAATGGTAAAGCAGCAGTACAAGTTTGAGCTTTTCCTGTTGACGCTGTGTGTAACAAGGTAGCCCAGTACTTACGTGGCCAGTTCATAGCACGTGCCTGGTTCTCAAACACATCAAAATAGGTGTCTAAGTCACTCTCAAAAAACTTAGGAACCATTGATGCAGCTTTCTGCACATTAAATGTGTCCTATGATCTATCAGTCTGTTGTCTTCCCAGATGAACATTTTCTCTTTGGAAATCTTCTTCGTTCAATTTCCTCTGTGCCTCTATTTGTGCAGTCTGCAACATAATGAGGCGTTCAAACTGTTCCTGAGAGATAGGACCAGTGGGTAATGGAGGAGTAGGGAAATTAACACGTCTTTCTGGACGGTCCTTAGGTCGGGCACCTCGTCCAGCCATCCCTAGAGAGTCTAGATCTGGTCTAGGATAAGTAGATACAGGTGTAGCATACACAGTACTAGCATGAGGCTGAGTCATACTACCAGCTATACTCTGTACTATTGTGTCAGTGAGGTGGGAAGGTGTAAGCGAGAACAAAATTTCACTAGGCTCAGACACTTCTGCCTTAGTTGCTCTCTCTTCTAAGTCATCAGATGGAGTTATACTTTCTAATTGTGACACTAGGCTTTCTGAATCTGAATCATAATCAGACATCTCTGTATGAGCAGGAAACAATATATCTTTAATTAACGCTCTGACAGTTTCTGCGGTGTAATTCCTGTTATACGTCACACCGAGATATTTGGCTACTTGCCAACACGTCTGAAGTTTTAATGTACTCAACTCAGACAAAGTCAGAGTATCAATTAACTGTTTCACTTTGGCATACATCACGAAAATAAATGTACTACGAGAGAGTGATTATGGGAAACTATAATCCTAATAGGAATTTTAGTGTTGGCTGTCTTAGAGCTAGAGCTTATAAACAGTATTTTCATCTCATTGGATCAAGAGACTCAGTCAGGTACATACATCCACCTAGTATGTTGTACAAGACTAAACTCAAAGTCTTCAGATTAGGAAAATACTCCAAGTGTTTGATCATAGAGTTATTAGTATGTCAAACTGGACAATTTCTCCAACACCTTGGATCAAGAGCCTCCCAGACAGGCCCCCATTTGTTACAAAAAATGTGATTCTAAAAGCTTAGAGATCTCCAGTGAATACTTCTAGCATCCAACCTGTTACTGGGTTTTCAGAACAATTAGTCAGTATCCTTGTCCAATTATCCATTAGAATTCAATAAGAATTATTAGTGCTTCAGGATTACAACTGGTAGGCTACTAACTAGAGAAATTAAAATTTAATAAATTTATTAATCATGGTCTAGAGGTATATTATCAAAGTAAATTAAATTAATAATAATCAGAATAATAATAATCACTTCTCTCGTGTACAGTAGTATTGTGCTGAAAGCACATATCACATTTATAAGTCTTAAGTACCGTCTGGTACAGTAGCATTTAATAATACAATGTACAAATAAGTTTGTGTTTGTGTGTAAGTGCTCTAAGTAGTTCACTATGTCTCACGACTCGATTAGACTTAACCCTTAAATGGTCCAAATGTATATATACGTTTTTTCAACATCTGAAAGTATGTAAAAAAAAATGTAGATCTTCTTTTTTGTTTTACATTTGAAAACGTGTAAAAAAAACTTTTATCTACATTTTTTTTTGTTATATTTGAAAATATGTAAAAAAAGTGGATCTACTGTTGTAGCACTACGAATTTGACGTCGATCTGTTTGGACCGTTTAAGGGTTAAACAAGTGACTGACAAAGTCCTCACATAAACTAACTTCTCGACCAACTGGTAATCAGAACAGTCTGCTTGAACAATAAAAAGAATGCTAAGCCCAATAGCAATATAACAAGCAACTGCGACACAGAATCAGGAACAAGGAGATAATATAATGACACTAAGTAGGGACCATCAGCAGATCCTCCACAAAAGTCACAAAACTCCCATAATACTGAATCTAAGTTCAGCATAAGAAAATCCCCGACTGTGACAGTACACAGATACCAGTACAAATTAGGTCCGAAGCTACAGCTCAGGACCTGAGTTGCTCAGAGTGTGTAAGAGACACACAACTTCAGTATAATGTCGAAAATCACTAAGTCTATACAATGTTCTGTGAACAGAGTCTCTAGAACTAACAATAAAGCTACAGAGACGATCTTCCAACAACGGCCAATAAGGAAGAGTTAGGCACTTGTCAGGAATACGTCCAACCACCAAGCGAGTCTAGAGCAGACTGAATACTTCAGGCGAGGTGAGATCACCCTCCTTCGATCACGTGATAGCTCCGTGGACAGTTGCTGCCCAGCAACAGAAGCCGGCAGGGAAACGAGCCACAAGCGATAATTACAGTAGTTAGACAATCAAGACTTGAACTTGGATCACATAATATGTTACATCCTACCTAACAACATAACTGAGTCAAATAATAATATAAAGTCATATTTATGATTTAGCTATTATCGCAAATATAAGCAATATAAAATTATATGAAAAGGTAATATACATTATATAAATCATATACATTGTAACCCATTCAGGGGTTGCAACAGTGCACTTGCGGTAGTCACAGCATCGTTTGCTAAAAGTGCCGCTGAATGTGTGTGTGAATATATATATATATATATTACAACAGATAATTTTGTAACACAGCCATTTTCCACAAAAGTAAAGTAACTCAAAACAGGAAACACTGACCATCAATTATTCTCTAGCTGTCTTTCCAAAAGTGAACAGACATCAAAATTTAGATGACCCACTGAACCCCAACATTACCACTCATCCTTCAACTGAAATTTACCCCAATTCTAATCTAGCACATCATATTCACTATAAACTGCACACTGTTTCATCCATGGTTATTACAAATTATTTACCTCAGATGAGGAATATTCAATATTAAGACATAATTAAGTGCAGTGCAATTTTTCATGAATAAACCTCATTTTTGGGGCTAAATGATCTGTTGCATTTTGAATATGTAGATTTATTATTGGATATGAAAAAAAAAATGCAGTATCTGTAAATACATATCTTTATATGTATATGCTTCTAAGCTGTTGTATTCTGAGCACCTCTGCAAAAACAGTGATTATGTGTGAGTGAAGTGAAAGTGTTGAATGATGATGAAAGTATTTTCTTTTTTGGGTCACCCTGCCTCGGTGGGAGACGGCCAACTTGTTAAAAAAAAAAAAAAAATGCTGTAGCCCGGCAGGCTGGACTTGATTCCTGGAGATGGGAAGTACAGTGCCGGCACTCTGAAGGAGGAGTGCTAATGTTGCAGTTTTATAACTGTAGTGTAAGCATGCCTCTGGCAGGACAGTGATGGAATGAATGATGAAAGTTTTTCTTTTTCGGACCACCCTGCCTTGGTGGGAAACTGCCGATGTGTTAATAAAATAAATATAATAAATGCTGTAGCATGTATTCTTTGGATGGTGAGTAGTTAAAGAAATATTAGAAAAGTTTTATCTTTACACCAGTGTTATACAATGCTGTACATGTTTGTACTGAATTGAAAAAGTCACTGGTTGGCAAATATCTTCAAAGTAGAGATACCCAGGTGTTGCATGTGTGTATAATTCTTTAGGAAAGTTGGTTAACTTTTTTTTAAATATTCTAACCTGTCACTGATGAAGGTTGGATAGTCTTTATGGTAGACATCACTGTCGAAAGCAAACACTTCACAACCAACTTTGTCCATTTGTGCATCGAAGGTTAAGTCGTGGCCTACACCAATTGAGTACACCAGGCAGTAATGATTAGGTGGAAGGAGGTCAGGATCATAACATACATGTCTGGGAAACATTTTTACTTATTAGCATTGATATTTTTTTTTATTAAAATGTAATTGAAAAAATAGTAAATTAAAGCAGGGAAGGAGATGAAGAGTGGAGATAGAAGTACATTGAACTTCTGGTTGATTTATTTTGTTAGTTTTATTGATTGTGTAACTGTGGTAATTTTGATACTGTACATCATTAAATTTTTTCCACAAATATCTAATGAAAAATTGAGATTTATCTGTTTTTCATGTTGCCCTTAATATTAAAGCTTCCTGAAATTTTGGGACATATAGTAGAGCTTTTTGGCCAAATGTTAATAGACAGTGACACAGTATTGCCTAAAAATAATTCATTTGTGGATGCATAAACAGTGTTAATTATTCACTGCACAGGAGCAGAGACTAAAAGGACATAAAATTTGCTCGAAAATTAGGTGATTTTAGATGCCTTCTTTAGTGCCCTGACGTGCTTACTTTCTCATCCCTTACTCTGATGATTCCATCTTTGCTGCAGGCCCTGATTTTTTAAATGGCATTGATTTTCTACACCATCTGTTGCTCCCATTCTTTCAGCTAATGTCCTTTCCCTCAATACATCTACCTCTTTCCTCCTGCTGTATCTTTAACCTCTGTCATACACTCCTAGAGTGACCCTTATGTGTTTTCCTCTTTTATTGCATATCATAATCAAATAGGAGGTAAGGTCAACCAATTATCACAATACTACACTTCACTAGGTTTAGCTTACACTATGTACAACATATGCTGTATTGTTTAAATAATTACCTTTAGTTTTCTTTGATATGCAGTGCATACAAGAGACCTACTATAGATAATTACTCTGCCAATAATGTATGCCAATCACTCTGAATTAATTTTTAACTGTTATGCTGATATTGTGCATACAATGCAGGTATACGAACTCCACAGGTTTTGCCTTTTGGTACCATTATTATTATAATCAAAAAGAAGCTCTAAACCCATTAGGGTCATACAGCACTGAGCCTTTTGGTACTGAATTTTTTACTTTTCAGAGACTTGATTTTGTTTGTTGCGCTGTCCATCTTTGTGATGTTAGTCAAAAATATACATATTTATTACCCTACTGTTCCTGTTACACCTTTTGACTAGTAGGAGATAGAGTACTACTGTACCATGTAAACATTGTAAGCCCAGGGTTCTCACCTGGCAACAAAATTTTACAATTGCTCCACTTACTTTTCTCCATCTGGTTTATAGTTGCAGTATATTCCTCCCATTGTAATTAACTTCCTGCAGTGGTAGGTGGGTGTAGACATGCTGTACAAAAGTTGCTCCAGAGTTTCTCGCAGCTCCATCTCTGTAGTTTTATTGTCTAGATTTGTTAGGTCACTCTTGATGTCTTCCGTCACCTCATACATTGAACTGTGATTCCTGTACGAGTCATGCATTGTTCTCGACTTAGGTGGTGTTTCTGAGAACTTACTCGAGTCTTTCAGACCTAAATGTTCATTATGCAATTTATCCCAAGACTTGTTTCTAGTGACGATCATAGACTTCATTCCCACTGGGAAGAATGACAAAGAGGGAGGTGGGGAAATATTGTGGTACTGAAGTGGTTCGTGTAACCCAGCACCTGAGGGAAAAAAGAATTTGCAAGGGAATTTTTTCAACATAAGTTTTATAGTAGTGCAGTTTCAATGGTTTTCTTTGGGTTAATTTATGAAACATGATTTTTCAGAATATATTTTTAGATGCATACTTTTTTATAATAAAAATAAGGAATATATGAGAGTAATGAGGGCAATTTGTGGTGTTAATATAATGCAGAGAATCCATAGTTTAGAAATTATGAGGAGGTGCGGAGTTACTTTAAAGTATTATCCAGTGGGCTGAGGAGGGATTTTGAGGTGTTTCAGACATTTAGAGAGAATGAAACAAAATGGAATGACTTGGAGAGTGTATAAATCTGTATTGGAAGGAAGCCAGGTTAGGGGTCAGCCTAGGAGAGGATGGAGGGAGGGTTTTGTGTGCTAGGAGCTTGGACTTCCAGCAAGTGTGCATCAGCATGTTAGATAGGAGCAAGTGGAGACAAATGGTTTTTATGACATGTTGTTGGAGTGTGAACCAAGTAATATTTATGAAGCTATTCATGGAAACCAGCAAGCTGGACTTGAGTCCTGGAGGTGGGAAATACAATGCCTGTGTTCTGAAGGAAGAGTGTTGATTTGTTACAGTTCTTTAACTAGTGTAGGTACACCTCTAGCAAGACAGTGATGGAGGGAAAGATGATGAAAGTGTTTCTTCTTTTTCTGGTCACTGTGCCTCGGTGGGATATGGCTGATGTGTTAATAAAAAAAATAGAGTTACAGTGTACTGTCATTGAATGTATTTCATATAGTTATTTTCATATGATTATGTATAATAATGTGAAACCTCCTTAATAGCTACATATTTAATCTCTCACTTATGGAAGAGTGACACCCTGATTGTTTAATTATTGTAAGTGTGATGCATACCTGGAGGGAGGGACACATGCAGTCAATGCCTGAAGCAGAGTCTGAGCACAAAGGAGTGGTGTTTATTTCACTGCTCTACTCTTCACTCCTTTCAAGGTAGGTGCCCTGATGCTGGTGAAAAATACCAGCATAGTGAAAAAGATGAGTTATCATGAGAGTAGAGGTGTGAGGTTGGTTGACAAGGTGACATCATTACCTGTGCTAGTGGAGACTTCATGCCTCTGGCCAGGAATTTTGATGTCAGTGAATCTACTATGCAGTACTTTCCTCTTTGTTTTGCGCTTTTTCACCCCTTAAAGGTGGTAGGTGCCTTGATGTTAGTGAGGGAGTTCTTGATTCAAGGAAATGGACCTATCCTCCCCTTCCTTGAACTGAATTTGATCGCCTCCCATCCCTCATGTACTGTATGACCCCTACAGGTTTATTGCTTCTCACTGAACCAGTATCAATAATAATTTTCATGTAACTTCCATTACATGAAACTTATCTACACTAAATTCCATCATGCATCATTCCACTTGCTCAGTTAATTCAAGTCTCCTTGTAAGGATTTAGTCATTTTTAATGCTTGTTTTACATAAGATGAGGTTTAGCACTTTACTTGATTATATTTTTACTATTATTGTACATAGGATCCTTGTATCATCCACAAACATTCACATATAGCTTTTAACCCGTAAACGGTCCAAACGTATATATACGTTTTTACTGCTAGTGCCCCAAATATACAGTGGACCCCCGGTTAACGATATTTTTTCACTCCAGAAGTATGTTCAGGTGCCAGTACTGACCGAATTTATTCCCATAAGGAATATTATGAAGTAGATTAGTCCATTTCAGACCCCCAAACATACACGTACAAACGCACTTACATAAATACACTTACATAATTGGTCGCATTCGGAGGTGATCGTTATGCGGGGGTCCACTGTATATATATACGTTTTGTGTGTCATACATTTAACATTGCCACGATAAGCCTGAGTCGCCTAGACATGAGAGAATGGGTGTGCACACTCACTGTGTGCCATATTAAAATAATTGGGGATGCCTGGGTACCATATGCTCTTTTTTCCCATTAAAAACAAACTATTTTTTTTTTCTCTCAAAATTTGGGGCACTACGGTAGATAACGTATATATACGTTTGGACCGTTTACGGGTTAATCCTTCTTGTGGATCTTTTTATACATTAGATGCATTATCAAGCCAACTTCTGATCCTTGGGGCATTATTCTGATGGTGATTTTACCCCACGAAGACATTTTGTATCTTATCAGCCTTTGCACTTTCCTTTCAGATAGGAAATCTATCATTTACTATAGTAGTATGCCTTTTATTTCTCCTGTTATTTTTTTCATGACATGCACTCTACTTACTCATTTCTTGAATATTTTGTGGGAGTGTCTTAGTAACCTAATATATATGATGTAATGTACAAGAGCTTAATGATCATGAACAGAGTATACTTTTTGTGTAGCATTATATTTTGTTCCCTGTATGTTTTATCCACTTTTCTCTGATACTTTTGTCAGTACAGTATTTTAAAGACTACTTACAAATGAGGCACAGTGTGTGCCTTTTTTGCTTGTAGTAAAATCTTTATATTTTTCAAAAGTGGATAACTTAGTTCACAAGAATATTTGTCTAAGACTGAAACTGCTATCTCATTTGGGATCTTTGTGTTTTCTTAACATCCAGTAGAAACTTCTTCACCTCTCCATTGGATATGTCAGTGCTCTCCATGTCATTGGGCTGTTTGGGAATAATTTAGGTTCTCTGCACCTAAGAAAAGTAGTAGTGTGTGTGGAGGGGGGTGCAAGTACATTATATACGTACTCATTGTGTTTGTAGGGTCAAGACTCAGCTCTTAGTCCTGTCTCCTTGATTAAGTTGATCAGCATCACAGATTTCTGGCCTCTTGGGCCTTATCATATCTTCTCTTCAACCTATGTATGGAATTTTCCTCTGTTTCTACCTTGTCCATGTCATTCCAGTTTTCAACCACCCTGAGACTAAAGAAATCCTATACAGGTTGGCCATCACAAATCCAGCATCATTGGGACCTGTAGTGTGTTAGATTAGTGAGTTTGCCAGATTACAGAGTGGTTAGGTTAGAATACACTTAATGAACCTATCAACAGAGACTCTTTCTGCTACATCTTCCTCATTTTCATCACTGCTTTCTCCTCCATTGGCTTGCTGCTGTGGATTTACAACCATCTGCACAATTTCTGAGTCAGTATAATGATGAAATTTGAGTTAGTATAATGATGAATTTTGAAATTATGCTAGCCGAAATTAGTGCCGGATTACTGATGGAACCAGATAACTGAGTGCCGGATTAGTGATGGAACCAGATAACTGATTGCCGGATTAGTGATGGACGACCTGTACATCCCTGTAGATCATGTTTCTTCAGCTTCCACTCATCTCTCTTCAGTCTGTCCTTATCTACTCTATCAATTACCTTTAAAATTTTGTATATCTCTGCCTGGTTTCTTTGTCCTCCAGTGTTAGAGTAAATTCTTTTAGCCTCTCCTCTCTATGCCTGTTCTGTATATCCCAAGATCTAAGATACTACTTTACCACCCTATGGGAGGCAACCCACAACAGTCAATTAACACTTAGATACCTACTTACTGCAAGGTGAACAGGGGCAGCAAGTGTAAGGAAATATATTCAGTGTTTCCACCAGTGCCAGGGATCAAACCATGGACCCTCAGTATGTGAGCTTAGTGCACTACCAACCAAGCCATGGGATGTGAGCCTCTGGCAATATACCAGGCACTGTGCTCTCTGCTAGGTCATTTTTTTTGTAGCCTCTGTCCCTTTCTTCTCATTAGCTGTACATAAGCAAACAGGGTTATAGCTCATTCACATTAACCAGAAACAATACTGTTCCTGGTGGAAGTCCCCAGTCTGACATCTCATTTTACACAATCACTCTGCTTCCTTCCTGCTATTCCTGCCTGCACCTTAAAGTTTTTTGCCCCAGTTTTTTTTTTTTTTTTTTTTTTTTTTGGGGGGGGGGGGGGGGCAGGGAAGGATATAAAGTATCCAATGCCTTCTTGCAGTCTAACAAAATGCAGACTATCCATCTCTCTCTCTCTCTCCTGCCTCACTTTTCTTACTTTGTCATAAAATTCCAGTGGACTGTTAAGACAAGATTTGCCATTTCTGAACCCTTGTTGCTTATTGTTTATGAAACCACTTCTCTCCAAGTGCTCTACCACTATCCTGATTATCTTCTCCATTACATTGCATAGTATGCAAGTTAGTGCAACTGGTCTGGAGTTCAGTGCTTCCAGTTTGTCTCTTTTCTTAGAAATAGGGATTATATATCCTATCTTCCAGATTTCCATCAACTGTCCCATGTCCAGTGAATCATAAATCTTAGCTAGTGGTTTAGACAGTGCTTCTGCTTTCTCTGTCTTTGAAAACACTTTGTCGGGTTTCATTGTCTCTGGTGTATCAAGTTTCTTTACCTCTACCTTTTTGTGTGTATGATGTCCAGTACCTGTTGAGGTACCCTGTTTCCTAAGCTTTCTGGTATTGCCCATTTCCACCAAGACCTCGTTGAACCATTTGTTCAATGTTTTGTAGACTTTTTTTTATAAGCTCTCCTCCAGTCAAATTATCTATCTACTCTGTCTCTCTGTCTCTGTCTCTCTCTCTCTCTCTCTCTCTCTCTCTCTCTGTGCACACTCACGTTCACCTAGTTGTGGTTGCAGGGGTCAAATCACAGCTCCTGGCCCCACCTCTTCACTGGTCACTACTAGGTCACTCTTCCTGCTCCATGAGCTTTATATTACCTCTTCTTAAAGCTATGTATGGATCCTGTCTCCACTACATCACTTCCCAGACTATTTACTTCCTGACAACTCTGTGATTGAAGAAATACTTCCTAACATCCCTGTGATTCATTTGAGTCTTCAACTTCCAATTGTGACCTCTTGTTGCTGTGTCCAATCTCTGGAACATCCTGTCTCTGTCCACCTTGTCAGTTCCTCTCAATATTTTATATGTGTGTGTTTTGTGTGTATGTGTGTGCATTTTAATTATCATTGTTGTGTGAGAAAGAGAAAGTGAGTTAGTTACCATTTGCCATAGGCACTTGTCACAAAACACTTAGCGTGTTTTGTGTATGTCTGTGTATTTGTTTGTTTTGTGAGGTGGAGAGAACAGACCTTGAGGGGATGAGACAGACGAGTCTAGGATGATGTAAGTGTGCAGGAGAACAGGGAACACGAGGACTGACACCACCTTCAGTGTGTCCATCAGGCGGGGCCACACTATCACCACCATCTCACCTGTGAAAAAACAATCTTCATGTTTTCTTAAACACTGTATATTAAGGAGGCCAAATTGTCAGGCACACTATATCATAACTTGGAAATTAGAGGGGCTGTAATTAGTATCCCTCAAAGGAAGGATTTTTGATGCTTGTTAGGGAGACTCTTGATCCAAGGAATTAACCTTGGCCTTTCTTTGAATCAAATCTTCATACCTCTCATTCCCCAGGTATTGTAAGGCATCTACAAGTTTAGTGCTCCTCATGAATATAATTATGGGGTATACAGGAAGTAGACTGATGTTGGTGAGGTAGTAGAGTACTGAACATGTAATGTCTGCTGGCAAGCATATAGTACCTCACTCACTCAGGAACACCAGTGGAGTAAGTCACACTGATTGGCTTTACTAGGTTATCCTAATTTACTAACCCTTCTAGGTTAATGATCAGAATAAAAGCTTCTACACAGGGCTCACTCACATCTGTACAACATACTCAGTCTTTACTTCCTCCTAGTTTTGGTCAGGTTTTCCTGCATGCTTATGTATACCTGTTGAGTTTGCATTCACCCACCACAAACACACACACACACGCTCGCTCTTATATGAGCGTAATGCATGGGTTTTGAAGGCTGCTAGAGGCAGTGATGTCATGTTTGAGAGCAGTGTGTGTGAGGTGATTGTTATGCAGAGAATTCAGAGTATAGAATTAAGACAGTGTGAGATCACCAAGGGTATAATTCAGAGGCTGAGGAGGGGTTGTTGGGGTGATGTGGGCATGCAGAGAGAATGGAGAGTAATAGGATGATGAAAAGGGTGTAATAATCTGGAGTGGAAGGTAGGAGAGGGTAGAAATTCCAGGAATGGTTGGAGAGAGGAGGTAAAGGAGGCTTTGAGTTTTAGGGGCTCAAACATCTAGCAGGCTTGTGAGTGACTTAATTATTATAATCAGAACTAAGTGCTAAACCCACAAGGGTCATACAATACTGCAGGGTGTAACAGTTTAATATGGTTGATCTGAGAATAACAAGGGTGGAAAGTATAACAGAGGTAGAGTTAGTAAGGGCAGGGAGGAGTGCTAAAGGAAGTATAATCAAAGTTTGTGTAATAAATCTTCCCTGCTTGCCATCAGCAAGGAGGGAAGATAAGTAATTGTGTTAGTGGTGATGACATCGGAGGTAAATTTTGCATGCTCATTGGTAAATGGGAGTCTAATAGAATACGGCACACTGAAATTGGAATCTGACAGTGGGCGTCTCTTCACGAGATACCCATGAGATGTGTAGGAGACTTAAATAGGAACAAATAAATGTAAATGGCTTGTAATGTAGTGTTGTTGGAAGGTGAGCAAAGTAACTTTTACAGAAACTAGTTAGCCAGACTTGAGTTCTGGAAATGGAAAGTACAGAGCCTACTGTGAAAGAGGGGTAGTGATGTAAGGGGAATTTTCATCCAACAAGGTCGGGGGGTGTCATGACCCCTCCTGCTTTCCAGTGCAAGAAGGTGACTGGGAGGGAATTTACCTCCAAGGGGGTTGACCCCCCCCCATTGGAGGTAAATTCCTCCACAGGTAATGTTGCAGTTCTAGAAGTGTGAAGTATAGTGGCACTGGACAGGCACCTAAAGTCAGTACCTGACCAACCAGGTTGTGGTTCATACGTCAGTTTGCGTGTGGCCAGCAGTAACAGCCTGGTTGATCAGACCGCTGATCCACCATGAGGCCTAGTCTCAGACCGAGCCACGGGGGTGTTGACCCCCGAAACCCTCTCCAGGTAAAACCAAAGGAGGGGTGGTGATGTTGCAGAGGGTAATATGAACAGTGATATTACACATCTGGAAAGACAGACTGAATAAATGGTGGTGAATGTTATCTTTGGGTCACTCTGCCATGGTGGGAGACTGCTGCATCTGTGTGCAGGGGGCGAAGGGGAAGAATGGGGGTTGTGACAGGAGGTGCACAAGTAGGAATACTGATTGAAATCTGGATAAACATGCACGAGATGTAATATTTGACATTCATATTCCATCTATGTATATAAATTAGCATCATGTTAAATAACATGTCATGAAACTGAACTGTTTGGTTATAAAGACAGTACATACATTTTTCCATTATTTTTAATTTTTTTTTAGATAGAGGAAGTTAGAAACTGGCCTGTAATTGTTGAGTCTCCACTTGGTAACATCATCTAACTATATACATATAAAAGGTCATCACTCAGTAATAGAACTCTTCCTTCAGGATGTATTATTACACTGGGAGGAGGAATGCTCAATCCATGTTGGTCATACAGCATCTAGAGGAATGGAAGCCAGTCAGGTTCAGTTCAAGGAGCTGGAGCACAGCTCCAATTCTTTAGAACAAGAGTCCCTCACCAACTCAAGGAACCTTCATTGAGGGGACTATCAAGGAGGATCTTTATAAGGTTCTGATCAGTTGGGTTGTGGGCTTACACAGAACTGCTAGCAGTGAGCACCAACACTCATGAGTAAGGCTATTGACAGGAGCTGGTCTGGGAGTAGACCATGGTGACAATCCTTGAGGTCACCTTTTCCAGAAACTTTCTAACCATTCTTATTAATCAATATACTTAAGGATAGTAAGACAATAATGTAATGTTTATTTACACCTGATTATTTTTTAAATATCAGTACATACTACAAAATTGGGGTAGGTTTCTGACCTGTAACAAAAATGCTGATATATGAAGTATCTACAGGTAGATGTTTAGTGTACAGAATATTGTACATAATGTATGAAATTGTACATTGATGGCCTTACTTGTTGGAGACTCATCGAGCACTACTCAATACAACTACAGGTTGTATGTCATCTATGTATATAATTAGAAATGATATAGAGTATATTAATTCAGTGGTTTATGAAAAAATTTAATTAATTATGCTGGGTATCTCAGGACTTTGTAGTGCATTAAGATTAAAGACTACAGTGATACATAGCAAGGTGATATTTTTTCAGATAATGTTTCATAAGTGTGAGCTTTATAAAGCTCTACAAAGGAACACACAACACAAACTTGTATACGCCATCACAGCGAGTTAGAGGTGTTGGAAGGTGTGGTGGAGACGGATGAAGTGGGGGCTTGATGTCATTAGGTCAGGTGTCTCATCATGTTGGCTTAAGAGGTGGTGGTGTGCTGAGGTTATCGTACGATGTTTCACCTGTCAGTCTCTCTGCTGTCTATAGCTTTCAAGGACTTGTAGTTTTCAGTTGCATTCTTGATTAAGTATTTGAGAAATTTCAACATGGAGAGCATTTTGGCAGTGGCAACATTCTTTGAGAAAGTCACTACTGCATATGCAATATACCCTCAGGAAGCAGCCAGTGAGCACTCCACTTAGTTGTATCCTTGTGGCATGAATAAGTGTGCAAGGTCAACCTTATCTGTCAGGTTTTGATATAGTGAACCATGAATTTGAGCCATTTGCCTGCTTGATTAACCTGGCAGCTACAGATGGGAGGGAATAGACATGAACAAATTAAAAAACGAAAATATACAAATTTATGGGGTAATGAAAAACGGACTTAGAGCTAAAAGACACTATTAGAGAGAAGAAACCTATTATATCATCAGCCTCGCAGCCCATTCTTAGATCAAGCACAGGAAAAGAAATACTGCAGAATTAAAAATTTTAAATTCACACAAGTAAAGATTAGTGTATACTAAATGCAAGCAGAAGTCTGCAAAAGTTACTTTACATCTTGCATGTTTGTAAGGTAAAGAAAAGACCAGTAGTCCTGCCAAAGTGCAAAATAAATAGATTTCAGCTTCGCACTCACCTGACAGGACTTGAGTACTACATAGATGCTTGCCTTGTCAATTGTCTTTTTTATGCACTGTTCATCAATTCGCCTCTAAATCCACGAGAATAATGCAGTCATATTCTAATTTGCTAATGATAGTACGTATAGTACAGTATTATGTTGCTTGACTTTGTTCTACATACAGAAGATGGGATTAATTGAGATATTTACATTATGTCAGAGGTCACAATGTAAAGCATAACATTTTGGAGTGGATAATAATTTTTACACACCCTTTGTATAAAAAAAAATAAGTACAATAATACTTTTGAAAATTTCAGGGCATATGAGTTACGTAATAAAAGATCTTGAAAGAATATTTAGAAAAGACAATAGAAACCTTTACAAAAATTATATTCCAGACACAACCTTCATTGTCCTAACATAACTTTGACTCTGAAGTGTACATGGTGGTGAAAAACTATAGACTTGTCGGGTAACTCTACATGAACAAAGAGCCCAGTACTTCCTTTGGTTTAAATAGCATTGTTATTTCTTAATCAATTTAATTTTCAGTGTAGTATGATCCTAACAGGTTTAGTGCTTTTTCACAAAGAAATTTACAAATTGAATATGGTACTGATAGGCAGTGTTGTAAGCATGATTAAGAAAAAAAAAAAAAAAAGACAGCAAATACAAGTTAATGGCCAAAGGTATTAAAAATGCATATATCAAATCAGAAGAAAGGGCTAATGCTAAAATGTATATATCAAGCTAGAAGACTGGGTCAGTGGTAAAACATATGTAAGACCACATTGGTAAACGAATTAGTCACTAAGTGAGGAGCATACTATAATGGTAGTGGGTTTGTCAACCATCTTATATTATTTTACTGTCACCTTTGCACCATTTATAACATTTCTGGTATATTTTTAAATGTTTATACAGTAGTTTACTGTATATTGTAATAAACAGAATAGAGGAAATCAGCTCTAATATATATTATTTAGGTACGCATACTGGTCACAGAGCTTGACGTAAGTCCAGTCGTCAGTAAACGAGTACGTTGCTAAGTGAGGAGAGGCTGTATTAAACCAGAAGAAAGGGTTAGTGGTAGTGTGTGTGTGTTAAGCCAGAAGAGTGGGTATGTGTGAAGTCAAAATGATAAAAGAATAGACAACTGTGTATTTTTAAGTACGTATGGTATTGTACTTGGCAGGTTGATGATTTACAAAACTGCAAACTCTATTATCACAATAATGCTAAGCAATACACTTTGTTAATCTATTTTTTCAGTTGTTTAATCTATTCTTATAAGTTCCACAGAAAGCATTCTTTGGTTATTAACCCAAGACAGGCAGGTAATGTACTACGTATTTCTGTCCTTTCTCAGGATGCAGCCAGCAACAGTTTAATAATACTCATGTACCTATTTCCTGCTAGATACACAAAATAAAACTGCACATGGGAGAATGAAACTTATCACAACATTTCAATCCTATCTGGACAGTTAACCAGTAACACTAGTTAAGCATCCAAGTTGGACCAAAATGTCATAAGAAGTTTCATTCTCCAATGTGCAAGTTATTTGTGTACTGTTCTAGTCTCATTATTGTGCCTTTTTATTCTTTACTGCTAGATGAACACAGGCAGCAGGTTCAAGGAGACTTGCCCATACATCTTGAGTTGCCTGTGTTTTGAATCCAAGCCCAAGTTATAAGCTCAACATTACAACTGAGCTACGGGACTCAAGAATAAGTTACCATAACTATTTCTTGTGTAAGTCAACAATCTATATTTTAATACCTATGAAAATAATAATACACCACCTGTAAATAATAATCTTGGACTACACAATTGTTGATCATCTGTACTGATAAAAGCACAAATTCTTATTACAGCTCATCTATTTCAAGTTATTGTTGCCTTTTGCATTTAATAGCAAATTTAAATGGCATTATACAGTACAATTAAGCTAAGCAAAGACATCTGTATAATGCATTCAATTTTTATGGACATTGCTGAAGATCTAGAACACTCACAAAAAGCAACTTTTACATTCCTGAAAACCAGTATGCATTGTAAAAGCACACTATACGAACTGAATAACATATGTAAAAAATAGGCAACATTCCATACATCTCCAAGTTACCCACAGAAATACTAAAGAAAACAACTCAGTGTCATTTATAGTCTCTCTCTCTGTCTCTGTCTCTCTGTCTCTCTGTCTCTCTCTCTCTCTCTCTCTCTCTCTCTGTCTCTCTTCTCTCTCTCCAACACAACCACTCGTTTGTATTATCTAACGGAAAGTGTAAGTCCCAATGACTGTAACTACTGCTGACCACATCTACATGTATGTACCAAGGTTGTGACTGGTGCACTAGTTACCTCAAGTCTTACCACGTACTACCTGGAGAGGGTTTCAGGGGTCAATGCCAATGCAGCCTGGTCTGAGACCAGGCCTCGCTACCAACAAGAAATGACACATTTTCAGGGAATTACATAGGAATATGATATGAATTGTTGGGTCATGAAAATGCCAGTTTCGCAAATACAAGTTTTTCTGTATATAGTATAAGCTTGCACATTTTCTGTCATACAGTACTTT